AACATATCACGAAAATGCGTACAACGTAACGAAACGGAAAAGATAAGCCTGCCTTATAAGCATACAAGTTAGTTTAACTGTAATCCAGTGTTAGTGAAAATTTAGTTATTCAATTGGACACAGATATATAGTTTGAAAATATGTATTCGCAAATGTCCGATCTAATTTCAGCATTGGACAATGAGCTAACCAGGTTCAAAACTATGCTAGTTGATAGCTGCCAAAAGTACAAAAATAATCGACATTCAGTATACAGTTTGTTATCTAAACAACACAGAGAAGCTCTAAGAGAACTTACAAGGAATGATAGCTCAATTACAAGCAAGCCAGATAAAGATCATGGTATAATGTTATTTGATAAAAGGGATTAAGTTGAAAAAACGGAAGTTATTTTGAACGATTAAACTAAATTATAATCCCTTGGTAATTTCAAGCGGAGAAACTAGTGACAGATTCCTTCGATAAACTGAATCAAAAAGGAATATTATCATCAGTCATGTATGAATCTATGAAACCGACAGGGACCAACGCTCCAAAGTGCGAAAACCTGGTCTTCCCCTTCGTTCAGTTTTAGGAATCTATAACTCACCATTTCACCGAACAGAAGAGTGGTTACTGAAGATTCTGGGACCTGTGTATACAGAAACTGTGCGACATAGAATTAGTAGTGTCCTTGACTTCACTCCTGAAATATCCGAGACTAATGTTATCCATGGACATACCATCACTGTATACGAACGTACCACTTGTCCAAACGGTAGAATACATGTGGCAAGAAATCACCGAAAGGCAAATGGACTTAGGAATTCCTTTATCTAGCCCCAAAGAACTACTGCTTAAATGCACAATGCATGTACATTTTGTCTTCATTAATTTATATTACCGACAAGTAGATGGAATCGTTATAGGTTCACCATTAGGCTCGATCTTAGCTGAATTCTCCCTTGCAAAACTTGGAAACGAGAGATTAAAAGACGTCGTCAGTGAATTGGATATGTATTGCCGTTATGTCAATGATACATTTATCTTAGTTAATGAGAATATAAGCATAGAAGAATTGTTGATGAAATTTAATAACATCCACCCTTCGCTTAGTTTCACTTGTGAAGAGAAGCAGGATAATAAACTGCACTTTCTGAAGAGCTTGCTAAGTAGACGGGAAGATAGGCCACTTGGGAGAAGCGTGCATTGAAAAAGCCCATTTGCAGGGCGATACACACACTTCCTTAGTTAAGTGACCATTAAACATAGAGGAAATGTCGTTAAATGTCTTACGAGCAGAGGCAGTAAGATATGAACAGATGATCACTTACAAAAGGAATGTGAATATATTCATGATTCCCTGACGGAGATGGGCTATCCGATTTGTTTCATAAAGAAACATATGAAAACATCAGAGAGAAAACCTGAGACCATGACTACACGTAAAAAAATCTCTATTTATTAAGTTACAATTTAACGGTGACCTGTCAAGTAATATTTTGTTCCAGAGACTTACCAGAAGTATCCGAAGAACGGTTTACGCAGCAAACACCTGTGTTTGTCATTCTCCAGTCGACGAATACTTGAGACTCAAACAAAGGGTAAGCTAGATAGTTTTGCTACATCTATGTGTATTTATCAATTCAACTGAACATGCGGTGATAGTTATATCGTGTGTACTACTATACAGCTTAGTCAATCTTTTACTGAACATTTGGCAAAGGGCAGACAAAAACAATCCGTAGCTCTATCTTTTCACATTTAGTTGATAGTGGTCATTTAGCGGAGAAAAAGATAGCATTCAACGTGATTCATCTCATCCCACCGAGTCTTTTCCAACGGACTTCGTATTCATTTACTGTACATAAATGAGGTGCTAGGCATTCTAACTATTAAACCGAAACCATACATTCAAAAGGAGTCCGTACAGCTATTATCCCTCCCTTGGCCTATTAAGACTTAACCAACTGGTGACTTCTCCACCACCCCTTACTTATATTTTCCATCCCTCTCTTATCCTCCCTCATTCTTATCGCATCATTAAAAAGTATTTTATTTACTTCCCTTCCAAGTAATGACGTAACCAATCATTAGTCAAGGGAATTCTAATTAAACTGAGTATTATTAAGAGGCTTAAACGAAGAACAAACATAGTGAAGTAGTCGAACTAACCTTGATCTAAAGTGATCAGTTGTTCTTGTAGATCCTTTTGAGAAGTTTGCAATTCACAAAATGCCGAATCAAATTTATTAACAGTCTGCTTCAATACGTTATACAATCCACTGGATAATTGTTTAACATTAGAAACTGTCTCATCATCTTTGACTAGATCTTCCTGAATGTTGAAAATATCCTCTACTTCATTTGGTGCATTATTTCTTTCAGAATTAGAAGAGTCAGCAATTAGTGAAAGATTTCCTGTTTGCAGCTGATTGATTTCGGGTATATGAGAATCCTGATCTGATTCAATATTCTATAATGAAATAATAAATTTTAAAAAAAAACAGTGAGCAAATCAGATCACTTCATATAAGCAAGACAAAAACATACGCAGTAGCACATTCAATACAACTACTGCCGTGTCATAATTTAAACAAATAAAAAACCAAGCATTATAATTCCAAGTAACCTAGTAGAGCATTGTTTTCCCAGTTGGATCACAAACCGACTTCAGTTGGCGAACCATTGAAAGCCTTGAAATATTAAGTAACTATTTCGTCCTTGTTTGGGACTCTTCGTCAGCACGCAACCATAACCCCACTAAGAATCAGACCCCTTGTCCTTCAACGGTGAAGATAACCAACTTCTAGGATAGTGAAATGATCTACACATTTAAGTTGCGGCATCACTGTCAATACAGTCACATGGAACAGAAAGGTAATCACATATCTCTAGACAGCTGTTTCATCCTAGTTTGGGAATCATCGGCAGTAGGCATCCACTGGGGTTCGAACCCAGGACCTACCGGTTACAAGGCAAGCTCGTATATCAATCCATGATCAACTCGTAAAAAAACATAACTAACCCTTACAAACCAAACTATAGAAAATTAATCCGATGCTCGGTAGTGACTTGCTACAAGACCTGGAGTTCTAGTGAGAAGTCATGACCAGTGAGGTCCAATTATATGTCACGTGTGAGGATGGATGTACCACCGACGACAATAGTTGGGGTCGCACTAAATCACGAATTGGTAGAAGTTAGAATTCATAAGCCAATGAATCGGGTCCCAGTGGCTGAATGGTATACGAGCTCGCCTTGTAACCGGAAGGTCCTGGGTTCGAATCCCAGTGGGTGAGTACTGCCGATGATTCCCAAACTACGATGAAACAGCTATTCAGTACTCCCTGGTTTTTCAATGGTTCTCTAACTGATATCAATCCGTGATCAACTCGTAAAAACATAACTAACCCTTACAAACCAAACTATAGAAAAAAAAGTATCTCTATATATAGAGTCTGTTTTTCTATAATTATCAAGAAAGTGACTATTAATCCATATGAACAGTTTAAAATATCTTCTTAGGCCCATGTCAGGTGGAATTCACCAGGAATCTTAGAGTGACTGATACAAACTCGTACAATTTTTACTTGAGCAGAAAAAACACTTCATTTTAGAAGAAACTTAGACAAAACACCGTGATTCACACCTAATGACACAGCACGTGATATGCGCTCGAGTGGAAACCAAAAGTGACATGGAGAAGATCGTGTGAGAAGAAAATTAAAGCTCATGGACAATCATGGAGCTAGTAAAAAAAGACTATCCAGGAGAGAGTGAAATGGAAAGGTGCTGATGAAGCCCTTTGACCCACTCGGAACCCAGGGTAATAATAACTTGAATTTATTCCCGGCGTCTAGCTGAAATCCTAAGTAAAATAAGACGTCGTATTCATTCGAAAGAAGGTGGAAATCTGCAAACAGCATTTTTTTTCTTTTGAAAAATGCTTTATTTTTCGAGTTTGACCACGGACTGATATCAGTTAGAGAACCATTGAAAACCACCAGTGAGTACTGGACAGCTGTTTCATCCTAGTTCGGGAATCATCGGCAGTACGTGTACCCACTGGGTTTCGAACCCAGGATATTCCGGTTACAAGGCGAGCTCGTATACCATTCAGCCACTGGAATCAAGTCCCTAACGTGCATCAGAATAATTTTCAAGAGTTGATTTATAAGGATTAGATGCTTTACCCAAATCAGTAAGCATAAGAAACGCACTGGATGTTTAAAAAGTTATTCCAAAGTTAGTCACTGCATAGCAAACATTTGAAGAAAACAACTGTAAAATATTGAAGTACATCCAATCAACGAAATACATAAAAGTAATTACATCACACAGTGGTGATACAAGGGAAATCTTATTTATCAATAAACACTAACTTTACAGTCCTATTAGTTCAGTGCTTTCTTTATTGACTTTGAAAATTTCTATTTGCCTGTATTCTCTAACCTCGTTGATCTAATCTAATTGCAAAGCTTTCGTCAGCCTTCAAGATAACATCTTCAATGCTAGATTTAATATAAAGTGGAACTTATTTAAAATTCTCCATTGGATGATATTAAATGTATCTTCATGTTAAAACTTGTACTGAAGATGTTGTCTCGTAGGACAGTGAAACCTTCTCAATTAAAATCTACAAGCTCAGAGAACATAACCAAATAATAAAAATTATCCCATCTGAACTACAAAGCCTTTTTTATTTTATCAGTCAAGGAGTTTTCATGCAAGGATATACAGAGATTCCTTAAAAAAGATTGTAGTTATGATTAACACTGGAATCTACTGTCATTAAGACTACATGATTGCAGTTGAAGATGACTCTCTCTAGGTGAAACTCCTTTGGAAGTTGAAATATGGTGATATACTGGTTGTCTAGGTGACTAAAACCGAATAGAAACAGCCAATAATAAAAAACGAAAAACATGCATATATTCACCCATTCCTAAAAGACATACACACATACAAATATACAAACACACAATCAAAAGGTCAATAAAACATCAACAAGACTGAATCCTGGCACAAAAAATGTATATCTATATTGATATATTTTAATTCTTCATATAAGTATATGAATGTGTATTCATTACATAATCCTGTTTGTGTATACAAAAGGACAAATAAAAAGAAGTAACAAACACACAAAAAATAACCCGAAGCATTTCACCAACTTTATCGATTTCTTTTCAAAAAAACCAACAAAGTTTATGATAATATATAATATCTGAAATTAAATTTTCTAAAAAAAACAACCAGAACACGGGTAAATGGAACCAAACAAACAAAAAACAAGGGGGTGGGGCGGGAAATGAGAGAAATACACTTCAGCAAGTCAAATAATAATCATAATGATAATTTAAAAAAGAAAAATCAATAATCGAAAATGATATACTCTATACATGTGATTGATTGATTGATTTACAAACTTTAGAAAGCAAAATAAGAAAAAAAATGACAATATTATTAATGCAGCATTATTGACAAAAGTAAAGGTGAGAGAAAAAAAAGCAAATGAAATAAAGCTACATTCATCATATCATCAAAATAAAAATAAAGGCAAAAATGAAATTATAACAATAATCAATAGAAATAATAATGATAGTAAGAGGGAGAGGAGGAAATACACAATTTGAGCATACATTTATTTCTGATATATTGATAGTTACATTGAATAAAGAAGCAGGAGATAAAAGAATAACATACATACACCCGCCACAAAGGGAGAGGGAGAGAGGGAATTCCCAGCTGCTACTGCATCTTCCCCACATAGGCTGTGTGTACTCGTTCTTTCATAAGAGAGAGGGAGAGAGGGAATTTATTATTGGCAAAAAAAATGGAAATGTATATTTATAATCTCAATTAGGGAGAAAATCAGCTACCTATCCTATATAGGTAAGGTAGGAGAGAGAGTATTGCCATCCTCTGTGAAATCATAATATCTACAACAACTTGGGAATACATCTCATGTACATCAAATATACATATATAATCAATATATGTACAACATTTATACATACATCTATACATATATATATATATATCACCGCTTGTAATAACAGCACGATAGTTTATAGAAAGAAGTTCTGAAGCACAACACAAAATGTATATAGTGAGAGAGGAGGAATGAGTAAAATGTATGTGAGAATGTACAAAGTAGTAGCACAGTAGAGAAAAAAGGCATAATCCTCTTTTGATAATAATAATAATAATGAAATAGAATATTATTGGTAGGAAAACGAACGTCTTGAAGCTCATATTCAGCGTAAGAAAAAAAAGCGAAAATCAAAAACAATAAACAACCGTACTCACATAGGAAACTGAATTAAGGGGGAAAACAACGTGGGAGGTGGGAGAGGAGATATTGGCAACGACAAATAAGGAAAAAAAATTATTTTTTTAAAAAGCATACTCATGGCTTAGAAAAAATCTATTGTTTATTTGTTTGTTTATTTTGTTTTTAAAGGATTATCTTTAGCTCACTGTAGTAACTACTCTTCATTATTCATAGGCAACAATAATAATAATAATATTAAATACAATGAAAATCATAATCATACCAAGACAGTACTGATAATCAATATATTGGAATGAAAGGAAAACAAAATTAATCAAAAATGTTTATCGACAGCATGTAAAAACAAACAGAATTTTACAAAAAAAAACAGTTATTAGGAGATAAAAAAGAAAGACGAGAAATTCAAGAAATTCAACCGGAATGTCGTGTTTATTCATTAGGAAAAATGGCACACAAGTACACACATTGACGCATATACAAACAAACAACTGTACGCACTACAATGATTTCAATGATAAAAAAAGGAATCAAGAAACACTTGCAAACTTGAGATGTATTCGCGGAAGTTGAAGAAAAGATGGAGTGAAGAGGAACAGGAGGAGAAAAGACAAAGCCACCAAAGACAAAAAAAGGAAAATAAAACAAAAATATCTCACATCTATAGGAATGATCACAAGTAAGATTAATTGGCAAAAATATATATACGACGGATGTATACACAGACAGAAGAGAGAATGAATCAGCTGAGTGGAGGAAACATATGAAAAATAGATTTTTACAGAGATTAGTAGTCAGTGATATTTATTTATCGATTTGGATGGGAGTTATCTGAATTTCGATCAACTACTGCAGATGGTAATGATACAACGGATCCTTTTTTCGATCGATTTCTGCAACAGAAAGAAAAACAAGAAAAACGATTTGAAAACTTCTAATGATTCTAGATAAAAACCGAAAGAATGAATCAATTAAATGACGACTTTAATAAATTAACGAATGAGGAGGTAAAGTTAATCACATGGTGTTTTCGCGCATAGTATAGCAAACACCAAAAAAGGTGATAAAACACCATTAAAACAAACAGCTAGAGGCAATATCTAATATGGTTACAGCATTCCTCTAAGAGCGTAATACGAAATCCCATAAGAGCAACAACCTGAAAAAATTCAAATCGTAACTGACCCACATCGATGGTTCGGCGGTAGAAAATTTGCCACACATATGCACGTGCTCCGGAAATCGATCCTCGGCTGACGGACTCCTTTACCTCGCTAATTTGGTAGTAAGCCTGGTGAAGAGTGAAGGTTAGGCGTTAAAATAAAATAACCACTGCCACTGGAACTTCAAAGCTCTAGCTTGAACCTCTGTGTTCCACTCGGAACTTAAAAGGTCTAGATGTAACTGACCACCTCAGCTCAATCATATCAGAATATGGGAACGAAAGGAATGTAAATTTGTTTGGAAATAGCTTATGTAGTCACCCAAATTAACACAAGTAAGAGTAATACATGTTTCGTGATTACTAACTGAAGTTATAATTGAAGTAAAAGAAAAGATGGTTTGATTATTAGAATGACGTTCTTATAGATGAAGTGTATAATGCTTGTAGTAATAAGTGGACTTACAACACATTAAAGCAAGCACCTGTCAAAACAGATGAATAAAAAACAAGTACAAAACTTCAGCCAGTGTTATTTTCAGACGGATAAGTTGTTTGTTCGACGTAAAAACAAAATTGATTTCAGAGGATCTAAGGCAACCAGCAGGAGGTCTTCCACCTAGATATCGTACTTGTTGGCACTCATCAGCAAGGCGTATCTGCAATTTTGAAAGAACTCATGTTCCCTCTGAGATCCGAGCCCGTGTTACTTAGTATTGCACTCAGAGACGTTACCACTGAGCTATTCGGGCCCACAATTGTAATGGATACTTCGATTGGCTACTAGGTACTAATCAATATCATGCATCTAGTCCTTGAGTTGGTGAAGACTTAATTCTATTAGTCAATGTGTACTGCGATGGCACTGCAAACTTGACCGATGGAATTCACTTTGTGTTTAAACACAAATCTGGTAATAGTTATCTTTTTTCATGAGCATAGCGAAGAGTGTTTTGAAGTAAGTATGTTTGAATGCTTCGAAGTAGAGGCGATAGAACTGAAAACCTAAACACTGAAAATCTCCATCTAACCACCGGCTAGTATAAGAATCTCTACTAAACGGAATGTGATTAGTAGCTTAATACACATACAAATAGACAAATAAGTGTACTCGATGAGTGAGTTTCATTATGAATTTTAAAGAAATTAATTAAAAAAACAACTTGGGATCACTTCTACTTTATTCTTTGTATGTTATTGACTTATTCTGTCAATATTACAGTAATCTTTTTTCCATACTGGCTAAATCCAAATGCTATCTAATCAAATTATCCCTCATATTAACACTCTGCCATGACACACAAACACCAAAATTGCTATCCATAGTTTAAAACCGGAAAATGAAGGCATAAATCAAGAGTACTTCATTTTCCTTAAGTCAAAACTATCAACAATACTTGTATCAAAGTTACGTTTACTTCCGGAATGACTGTTTTACAATGAAAAGAAGGAATTCCTGAGTAGAGACATTTTAATTTTAGTTAGTTTCAAACTTAAATCTTGTTCTACTCACTTTAGTTAGAGAACTATCGCAAAACCAGGAAGTATTGAACAGGTGTTTCATCCAAGTTTGAGACTTTTCGGCAATATGCGCCTATGTCATCACCTGGGCATGAAACCCAGAACCTTCAGGTTACAAGTCGGATTCATTGGGGTGGAATCTAGAGGCCCATCTAGTGCCTACTAGTGACTGATTATAGGATGAAGTTGCCTCATATTCTAGTGAGAAATCATGATCAGTAGAGTCCACCAGTTTGGAGGCGAGAACAGATAATCACTGATGACAATGACTGGTGATTGCACTATGTACCATGAACTAGCAGAAGTTATCATTGGTGGGCCATCCCAGTGGCCGAACTATCAACGAGCCTGTCTTCTAACCGGAAGGTCTCTTGGTTCGATTACTGTTGGTGATCATGGGTGTGTACTGATGAAGAGACCCAAACTACGACGAGACAGCCTCCCGGTACTCACTAGTTTCCAATGATTCTCTAACTTAAGTTAGTTCGTGATCAAACTTCAAATGCAGCGAAATCCCTGCAAAGCAACACTTGAAAACTACTCACTTTGGCCAGTATTATCACTCGACAGAATCACAGTCATGAAGATACGACACATGTCACTTGTAGCTTAGTATACAAGCAAGTTGTCCTAAACATTATTATAACTATTATTGTTAGTATACTTTGTCATTTCGCAATTTCACGCATACATCCATACATCCGCAATGCTATACGAAATTACTAAGATCACACACTTTAACAGTCAAAGTATATTAAAAACTGAATTATTATTCAACGTAACTTAAAACTGTTCAGAATAGTCAATAAATATCTACTATGCAAACAGAGTAAAGTGAATTTATTTTCGTTATGCTAAATGTTTGCTTACACCATTATTTAGTCTTTCTTGTTAAGCATAACAGATACAATTGAAAACTATGACAACATTAGTAAATGTATCTATTATGTAAAAAGAGGTTACTTAAAATCATATTTGTTCGGTGCTAAAATACCTTAATTTTAAACTGGTAAACCGATAACTAGAAAGGCACTAGTATTTGAGAGCTTATCTTTCAATCATTGCCGTTTTATATTTATATGTACAGATTGCTTTTTCACTCCTGGGGCTTCAAGCTTTGACCTTTGGAGTTGAACTAGTAATTATGTATTTTTTATGGAGCTGACCAGCTAGCCCCGCATCCTCTTCCTCCGACTTACTTTCGGCTAGTAAACTAAGCGAGGTTCATGAATGCGTCTGTTGGACGGGAATCGAACCCGGACCAGTTGAGTGGTTGGCGAGCACTTTACAAGTGAACCGTCAACGCACACTGGGGTAGAGAATTCGAATGAAACGAAGGTTAAGAGATTGGAGGTCGCATTCTTTAGAAGTATATGTAACCAACTATTGAAATTTTGTGAATTTTGATGAGACTGAAAGAACCTTAAGGTCGGCAAACTGCTATTGGTGCAATGGTAGGTGAGTGAAGGTGAAATAAAAATCTGAGTAGAGATAGGATTCATTTTAAAATAAGCTCAACGGTTAAATTCATTCAAGCTCTAATTCTATCGAAAAGCATTTTTCTTAATCCGTAAGTGGAGAGAATAATATTCTGAAGCACAAACAGAAGTTAGAATTCATGGGTCATTGAGCCAGGTCCCAGTGGATGAATGGTATACGAGATTGCCTTGTAACCGGAAGGTCATAGGTTCGAAACCCAGTGGGTGCGTACTGCCGACGATTCCCAAACTAGGATGAAACAGCTGTCCAGTACTCACTGGTGGCTTTCAATGCTTCTCTAACTGATATCCATCCGTGGTCGAACTCGAAAAATAAATCAACTCTTGAGGATATATTTTCGTTGAATTATTCTGAAGCTACCTAACTGCAATGTTGAGGATCACACACAGATTCAACCAAGAACAGTCGTCTTTTTGCTGTCATTGGAACGTTTCGTGTCTTTGTGTGTTTCAAGGAAGCTTCGTCAGCTATACAGTGGGGACACAGAGATCGATTTCCTGCTTTCAGACCAGAAAGAGTCGATTTCATTAATAACAACAGCGGCAAAACGCTACAAGTTACTTAAGTAATATCGAAGGATCATGATAACAGTAAATAATAAAGTGTATAAAAATGCCATGTGATTCAAGCATTAATATCTAAACTTCATATTTAAGACAAGAATTAGTTGATCAAAAAAGAGAAAATCCACACAGTACCACAGTTTGATAATTATGCAATAGGATTGGTATTATTGCTAACGCTAAACTGTATTAACAAGAACTGTGCGAAAATTCTGTTAAAATCCAATCACTAGTATAACTATTACTTCGTTAAAACTTCAATAGAGTGAACAAATTACTCAATCCAATTTGGACGTTCCAGTTGATTGATTCTACAGAAGTGCTTGGTTTCCGTTGATAAGTCGGCTCCTTGTGCGAATGCTTCAACTATGTCTGAGGATTTGACCTGAACTAATTTAGTAGGGTAACGACTAGCAGTGGAATCTAGGATGAGCGTTTCTTTCTACTTGGGACTCGTCAGGTGGGTGTGCCTGCATCCCCCAATGAGTGAAAGGTAGTTTTCGTCATCTAGTGGATAACGCTTCGGTATTTGAAACAATGGGTACTGGGAATACCATCACTCACTAGGTGAGAGGGAAAGTAGGTACATCCAAATGACGAGTCCCAAATAGGATGAAACGTGTCACCTGGATTCCACTGTCAGTCACCACCCATCAGAATTACTTCAGAGTGAAAAAACGTTTCCGGTAATTTTTATTTTTCAGGCTCCACAATTATAAATTCATTAACTTCAGCATAAGGAGTGCGCCGGCCGGGGATCGAACCCCGGACCATGTGCATGGTCGGCGAGCGTCCTAACCGCGTCGGTGGCACAGCGGTAAGATCTTCGCCAACCGCGCCTCATGTGGTCCGGCGTTCGATCCCCTGCCGACGACGCACGCCTTTACCTCGTTAAGCCGGTAATAAGACTGGTGAGCAGGGAAGGTTGGCCATGAGGCTAGCAACCACATCGCATAAAAATAAATACCACTGCTACAGAAACTTCAAGCCTCCAGCCTGAAGCCCTATGTTCCACTGGGAACGTAAAGGAATAAAAGAAACTTCAGCATAAAACAGCCGGTAAAAGCAAATCAGAATTATATCAGAAAATGTATTATGGTACACTTAGAAGACAGATAAGATGAAATTCAATGACGTGTTGACTGACTGACTAATTTCAACGTAGAATTTTGCACCAGTTTGAGTTGCCACACTCCATGTAGTACACAAAGTAAACGAACAGAGTAAAGAGAAATTCAAAAGAGAAATAATATATAATGACGTGTTGAACTAAACAAAAGTATAAGTTCTAAGTGGGTGAGTGTAGTCGGTAGTGTGAGAGACAACATGAATACATGCTAAAGAGAAACCAACAGACGTAAGTCCAAGGAGTGACAGATAACGATGGTGCAGTGTGTAAACACAGAAGTACTACCACCACCAGTGAACAATTATCAGATAATGAAGAATTTAATGCGGTGAAAAGAAAAAGGAATGTTGTCTAAATACAATAACATATTCGAAAGTGTTACGTAATACACTTTCATAAGAAAGGTCATGAAATCATAAAAGGTCTGAAATAAAATAATTTGACCTAATTGACTAACCAATTAATTAATATGCACACCGTGTAATGCTGAAATACATCTTTTTTCAAGTATTGGTTTGCAGGGGTTTGATTGATTGGTTACAGGATTTTAATCTTCAGCTGACATCAGTTAGAGAACCATCGGAAAACCTGGGAGTACTGGACAGATGTTTTGTTCTGCTTTGGGACTCTTCAGTAGGTCGGGCGTGAGGACAAATACCCGCCGAAGACATTGGCTGTTGGTCACGCTATATCGTGAATTGGCATAAGTTAGAATTCTTGGGCCATTGGATCCGGTCGCAGTGGCTGAATGGTCTACGAGCTCTCCTTGTAACCAGGATGTCCTGGGTTCGAACCATGGTTGCGGATGCGAACTAATGAAGAGCCCCAAGCTATGAGGAAACAGCTGCCCAGTACTCCCAGGTTTTCCAAGTGTTCGCTAACCGATGTCAGCTCAGGAAATCCCGTAACCACATGTTTTTCTTGATGTGACTGATTATTTGGCTCAACACATACTCTAGAATGTTGCTTCATTCATCATCCCTACTTGCTGTTTTACACTCAATTAGTGGAGAAGAAATGCTACGAAATAAGTCGATTTACCCTTCCCCCCCCCCCCCCACCCAGTTGGAAATCAGTAGAAGTCTGAATAAAATGATATAACACAGGGGAAATATAAACAAGTGAAGTACACACACACACACACATAGACATGATCTGTTGTTACTTACTTGGTGACAGTTGTAAAGCAACTGTGATTTTGGACATTCCATATGTAAAATTTAGTGAAATAGGAACAAAATGATTTAGCCTGATAGGATTGATATACAGATATGTAACAAATACATATATATATACACGCCCTATTTCCTAGAAATAAGGCAACATCCAGAAAACAATTGATTTATTTCTTTTTAGATGACTGTATACACTTAAATTGAATACCTTACATCTTAAGCCTTGTCAATGGCATAAAAGGCAAAAGATGTGATAAAAATCTTTTTTTCTAAAAAAGACAGATATCAGCGTATAAATCTGATACTAATCTCTAATAAGTCATTTCACAGCAGTGCATAAGGCATAATGAAAGAGAAGATAAGGGAGTGGAGTGAAAGTAACACTAAGTTGTGTAAGAAAAAGATGCATAAGGTACACACATATGTAACCTAATACTTCAGATGAAAATAAACTGACTAACTATCTGACTGGTTTCAGCATAGAACTTTGCACTGACATGCAGCAGTTCAAGTCGCCACATTTCACGTAGCACACAAAGCAAGAGAAGAAAGTAAAAAGAAATGCATAGTGGAGACAGTAAACAGAGATATGAGACGAAAAGAATAGTAATGTCGAAGAACAATATAATTTTATTGGATATTATAAGTGACATGGAGTGGATGCATCTGCGTCAGCTATGAGAACGACTTTAAGCCATATCACCAATTGTCTCCAACCATCAGTGTTTACCGTCCCGAGGATTCCAACCAGACAGCAGTGTACACCTTTCTACGTGACTGTCTTAAACTAACTGTTGGGGATTTCATTGAGTGATGAAGCCATGTTTCGCTTTGACCATCACTAGCTCTTCTTCAAGCTGATGTATCCTACGTCAACTAACATTTCCCGTTGAGGAAGACGATCGCTAGGCTACCATGCGTAATACATGTCCTAACCATCTCAGTCAATGTAATTTCACAGCCTCGTCGATTGATTTCCCCTCCTTACGTAACACGACTGACGTCCAAACTCAATATTGCTCACCTTATTATACTACTTCACACAGAAGATAGAATGTAGGCACATTTGATCAAAGGTCGCTAGCCTTTTCATGTCTTCCACTCTCAATGGCCAGGTCTCACAGACATAAAGGAGGATGGAGCAGACTGCTGAGCAGTACACATGCCCTTTGGTCGGTAGGCGAATAACACGTTTACGCCAGAGACGGTGTGAACTGTCATATGCAAAACGAGCCTTCTTTATCCGTGCAGAGATTTCGTCAGCGACCAACCCATTGGCGTCGGCTGATGCAACTTCCCAAATAAGTGCGGTGGTCAACACGCTCTACCATCTCACTCCCTATTTCTAAGCTAGGAGGTTGATGTAGTCCAGTCAGTCCTGTAGCATCATCTTACATTTGGTGGGAGCGACTTGCATGCCAAACATTTGCAGATTGCAGCTCAAGGTGTTCAGAAGACTCTGTATCTTCTCAGCGTCTTCACCTAGGAGGGAGGACTATATCATCTGCATATTCTAAGTCAACGAGATTATACCCTGGTTACACGGTTATAAGATAGTAGAGGAGTTTTGTAGGTTGGGTGGATGATGTTGGTGCGATTGAGTTCTCTAAGCTGGGTGAATCCATTGCAAAACTTTCATTACCTTTCGAGACAACATGTTCAGCGTAAACTTTAATATGAAATGAACTTTTTTGAGCATTTCTCATGAATTATATAATTGTATCTTCTAACAACAACCGTTGTTGTGATTAGTTGGTAACTTACTTACATCAGCACTTATCGTTTCTGTTGACTTGGAATTTGACTTATTTCGTCATTTAGCTCATTCTTTATTATTAGTTGGTAAATTGGATCTGTAGTAATGCGGCTGTCAATAGCTGATACAAAGGAATACCAACCAGGCTTTCCCTGGAATTTTCAGTTCTTCCACTGATTAATACTGCTACATCTTCCCAATCAAATTGGTGTCCATAGTTATCTACATGTAAAGATAGGAAACGATACATATTGTATGCATTTCGACAGCTAATTTATTTGTGTTCTCGGATTCGGAGCGAAATTTAGTATTTATCGCAGTTCATTTAATTTATTTTGTAAATAATGTTGATCTTATCTTCTTTTGCTGTTGGGTCTTTTGGTCTGTATAGTATTGTGTGAAGTAATTGTGTTGGTTTATGTGCTATATCTATTCCGAATAGTTTTGATATTCTAGCCCTTATTTCAGAAACATTTTTCATATATCATAGGATGAATTTTCTTGTGATTTCTTAGGCATGACTTCTTATTGGTAGTTTGATTCTAGTTTAAACACTTCTGATGAGATTGTAAAGGTATCCATTTTTCTTGAAGGCAGTTAATAAATATTTCGCTTTCATTCTCCTCAGGACTGAAGTATTGCTGTGTGTTTCACCTCTTTTGCATGTTGTTGGGTCACTCTTGTTGTAGTTGTCGAGTTGAGGTCGTATGCAGTACCAGGAATAAATTTTCAATGTACTAGGCTATGTGATACACTTCTTTTCTGATGATGCTACCGAGTTTATCGGAATAAAGTAAGCAAAGCCGAATTCGAACCCGCGACTCAATGCCTGAGAGTTGAATGCTTCGATCAATGAGCCACATCTCCACTTTCATAAATATATTATGCGTAAATAAACTGTGAAATAGACTTCAAAAGTAGTCAATGCTCTTTATAATCTTGTTAAAATAGTAATATGTCTGTCATAGATAGTAAAGAATATCTAACTTGTATAAAAGACAGATTTTACACAAAAAGCGCCGAAATGTTTACTATAGGAATAAGAAGATAGAGCACTTCGGGAAATGTAAAGGACTTCGAAAGGAAGGTTATCAATCGAACAATTTATACCTCATCATAATTAGCCACTTGAACTAAATCGAATACAACGAGAACAGTGGCAATAAGCGAACCATATGCTATCATTTATTCAGCACCCACCCACCCCCGAGCATGCGTTAGTCAATATATATATAACCAGAAACAAAGACTGAAAAATTGACTTACTCTTGTGATAAGGATTTTCCACCAACTGGCAGACTTTTACTACGATCTGATGCATCTGAAGTGAAGTGTGTCTGTTCAACAGATTGTAATTTTGTACTTTGTATAACTTGATTATTACTATTATTATTATTATTACTACTACTATTATTAAGAACTTTATATCGATCACGAAGTAATTGCATCATTAATAATTCATTAATAACTTTAACCCATGTATCTCTAGTGGACGGATCAGAGGATTGAAATATAAAAGTGACTGCACGCTTAGCTGTCCATACGGCAAATCGTCGACGATCTCCATGAAAATGTGGAGTTAGTCCAATTTTAGAAAGCTTTAAAAAGAAAATAACAAAAAAATTCATAGAAATAAAGTTTACTACTATGTTGACAAAGCTACTATTATTACTGCCATTAATAAAGCTCAAAACTCCTGTTACGGACATAAAACAACAGGGCTTCAAACGAGTCAGCTGGGCACTAAGTTTAACACGATATGAAGACATGGGAAGGTGAAGGAAACATGCGGTTTGAATAAAAAGGCTCCCCCACCCCTTAAATATTTGTTTTATTAAAACTACTCTGTAACTATTTAACAAGCTTACTTTTCTTCTGTTGTCTTTTATTAATGTCTTTTTGGTAAAAAGATAATATTAACTTGCATATCTGTGAAATACGTTATTTAAGTTTTTAAATTCCAGTTAGTTTTGTTGAACATCAGTAATTCGTTTAATTATAGTTTTTCAAAAGCCATGAAGTTGATATACAGGGAATTCAGTAAAGATTTCCTGGTGTTCACAGTATAAGCAACACAATAGGTGATTCCATATAAAGAACAAACGGAGATTTTATTATTTAATTCAATTTTAGATTTTCCAATCGATTGATTGGACCGAAGTGCTCGGTTTCAGGTTGACATGTCGGCTTCTTATGAAGATGCTTCGACGATGTCTGGACATGTAATTAGAAGTTAATTGCACGGTGGTGACTAGCAGTGGAATACAAGCACATCCAGTTGACGAGTTCCAAATACGACGAAATGCGCATCCTGGATTCCACTGCTAGTCACCATCCACCAATCAACTTCGAAAAGTTTCTTAATTTGGACAGTCTCTGGGAGGCTAGTTAAACGTAAGAATATAATACGACTGACAATACATAGTATTTTGTTAAGTTATTCAATTATTCAAATATACTGGAATGATTGTGTAATATTTCCAACACTCTCAGTAAACGACGATAATATCTACACGCTTTCAAACATTTGATATGAGACAAAAGAAGAAAGAAATCATTTGTTTCCACTTAATTTTATATTTCCTGTTGGTTGATTACTTTGCACCGAAATGTTCCGGTCACCGTCGATATGTCGTCTCCTCCCAGTACGGAGGCTTTGACGATGTTTGAGGACGATAGCTAGCAGTGAAATCCAGGATGTGTACTTTGTCCTATTTGGGAATTGTTATTTGAGTATATCTGCATTCCCATGGGGTAATAGTGTCCCCTCTGAGCCTCAAACCCAGCACCGATCGCTCCAAACGCCGAAGCGTTACCCACTAGACCCACACAACAGGTGGTTCTTGTAACCCAAGTGTGGTCTAGTGTATAACGCTTCTGTGTTTGAAACGATGGGCTCTGGGGTTCGAGACTCGACGGGGAAACTATCACTCAACGGGAATGCTGATGAGTCTCAAACAAGATGAGATGCACATCCTGGATACCATTACTAGTCACCAGCTTCCATATAATAGACAAATCATTTCAATAGGAATGAAATAAACGCTATTAACGACTAAAAATAATATAAACTCACCTCTAGTTCTTGTTTAATTTCATAAAATGGACCAGAAGTGTGTACTGCTGTTGAATTCGACACTAGATTATTACTTATGCTACTATTGTTATTACTATTATTCCCACTGTTCGAGGTAAATGACTTAGTGAATGCTAATAAATTTGATGCTGTACCACCCACTGTTGAATTGTTCGATTGATTCTGTGTATTATAAGCATTGCATGTTGACTTTTCATAAGAATCAAGAGAATAATCTTTTGATAGATGAGCAGTTGTTGAATTTGAATAAGTTAACATTGGTATAGGTGAACTGGCTGATGTACGATATTTAGTTAGTAGGATAGCATTAGTAAACAAAAAGACATGACGTTGTTTACTAGACATGAATCGGACATCATCACGTGATACTGTGAAATCACCTTCCAATAAAAATTGGCCTAATTCAGATGGACGAACCTTTTTATTTAATGGAATAAAGTAAATTACAGAAATATTCATATTAGTAAATTACATAAGAAATTTGACTGATATATAATTGCTGCTATTAATTTTTTTTTTCTTCACGTTCCCCATTGGAACATAGGGCTTCAAGCTAGAGGCTGGGAGTTTCTGTAGCAGTGTTTATTTTACAGGATGGGGTTGCTAGCCTCATGCCCAACCTTTCCTCTTCACCAGCATTATTTCTGGCTTAGCGAGGTATAGGAATGCGTCGGCCGGGGATCGAACCCCGGACCATGTGCATGGTCGGCGAGCGTCCTAACCACTATGCTACCAACGCACAGAAAGGCGTATCTGCAACCTTGAAGGAACTCATGTCCCTTCTGAGATTCGAACCCACGTCACCCAGTGCTGCAGTTAGAGACGTTACCACTGAGCTATTCGGACTCGCTATTAATAGTTACTGCAAAATACACTCAGTGGTAATGACTGTGAACGGTACTGGGTATGATCACTCTGAATTGAGAATGAAATCATGTTTAGTCTCTCAACATTCAGTCCGAATATACCCACAATCTTATGGGATATAAAACTAATGACAACCATGTATGAATAGTAAAACGCCTACTGTCCAGGTGGGATAATTTACACTAAGGGTGAAGAGATATTCTGACTGACTGACTGACTGACTGACTGACTGACTGACTGACTGACTGACTGACTGACTGACTGACTGACTGACTGACTGACTGACTAACTGAATGAATTTCTGCACAGAACTTTGCACAAAAGTGAAGTAGTTCAAGTTGCCACACTCCATGTAGAAAACAAAAGGAAACCCAAAAGGGCAATAACGAGCAGAAATGTGCCGGTGAAAGAATAATTACTTGAGAGAAAAAAATGAGAATTTAATAGATGAGAGTAAGACTAAAAAGAGTTAGTGGATCTGCGCCATTGGGAACAGTTTTAAGCCTCCCTACATAGTTCAAAACAACAGTCAAGGTCTTCATAGACTGATGTTATCTTTTGATTTGACCACCCCTAACACACTGCTCAACGAGGAATGCGGTGACTCAGCATGTGTAACACGTATCCTAGCCGTCTGAATCGACACAGTTTCACAACCACATCGATTGACTTTCACTTCGTTACCTGGCAATCTACGTTTAACCTCGATATTATCACTATACTGTAACAATTAACACAGGAGATAGAACGCGAACATGTGGTCAAAGACAACTAACCTTTTCATATCATCCACCTCAGTGACCATGTCATAAAGAAGGATAGAGAGAACTGCTGAGCAGTAAACACGTCCTTTGATCAGTGTTCAGAGATTTTGAATTCGTCATCTGCATACTTAGTTTAGGAAATAAACAATCAAATGACTATCGGTAGTTAGTTTCGCGTAACTTCCCTTTAAAATTCCAATCACGAGGATAAATAATTTACCTTGATTGGACACTAGTAACTAATGTGATGTGCCTAGTCCTTACTTTGGTGCAGACTGAATTCTATCAGCTCAGTGGTAACGTCTCTGACTGCAGCACTGGGTGACACGGCTTCGAATCTCAGAAGTGACATGAGTTCCTACAAGATTGCAGATACGCCTGCCTTGCTGACTGGTGAGTGCCAACCAGCATGAAACCTAGGTCGAAAACTTCCTACCAACTGCCAACAACCATCTTATATCATCAGATGAATAGTTAACCTGCACTTCTATTGTCTTTTATTGAAACATAGTCAATTACTGTGAAGACGAAAGACTTCACTGTACCGATTTATGAGACTACATATACAGTTATCTTTTAAACGGGATGAAAAGCTACATACTCTCAATTCTACCTAATCATAACTGTGTCGGAAACTAAAAGCGCCTCCAACCACTAATTTTTGAGGCAGGAGCTTTCGCAACCTTCGATGTCCGATCTTATACAACAAATCAAATTAGGTATTAGTTTTTTTTATTCCTTTGCGTTCCCAGTGGAATATAGGGCCTCAAGGTAGAGGCTTGAAGTTCCTGTAGCAGTGGTGTTTATTTTTACAGGATGGGGTTGCTAGCCTCATGTCCAACCTTCGCCGTTTACCAGTCTTATTACTAGCTTAGCTAGGTAAAGGAGTGAGTCGGCCGGGAATCGAACCCGGGGCCACACACGTGGTTACTGAGCATTCTATCGCTGCACCACCAACGCACAGGTATTAGTAGCATGTATATATATATATATATATATATATATATATAATTTCTTTTATCTTATAAAGCCTATTGTTCTCACCGGCACGCTCTAATCTTATCTTCTAATTTTCCCATAGGCTAAGTGTAGCAAAAAGTATGTATCTGATAGAAAACAATAGACTTCTCTCTTGCATTCAGTATCGAACCTCGTTCCCAAAATCTCAACATTATTATCACATAACAAATGTGGCACGCTATCAGTTATTTCAATAAGAAACCAAAAGAATTCCACCATGAATAAAACTTACTGATAATCCCCGAAGTTGCATAGCAACATTCACTGTTTCGCATAACTCTGAAGCAGTTTTATGTGCAATTTGTAGATCAGCGCTTAAAATCATCAAATAGGGAGAGAGAGAGAGAGAGAAACAGAGAGAGAGAGAGAGAAAAGAAATCAGAGTGAATATATAAAATCACAAGGTGAGCTTAATAAAACAAAATCAGATATGAAATGACTGATATGTAACCAATTAATTAATACTTGCTCTAAGTTGATCTATTACATAGAATTATCATTGCAGTTAATTTGATGTGATTCATTTACAAAGATTACTGAATACCCGAATGCTGTACCATTTCACAAATAAATATTGCGTAAAAGGCATAATAATCAACGTGCTGATTATTCTTATCCAATGGGTATCTGCAATCTATTGTGTATATGAAGTGATCTAGTTGAATTACAAAAGCATACTGACATTCCGTCCTCTAGTCGTTTCACAATCATTTATTCATTGACTTGTGGACATTTAAAGTTAAAATCAACTATAAACAACGTTTCACATGAAGTTTGTATAGGAATTTCTAGTCATATGCAAGTGTTAACCGTGCTCTTGAAGTTACAAATCCATCGTATGAATCATGTTATGCAGATTACTCATCTTTTAAATGATGTCGGTAGAGAAAAATAACTCGTTTACTTGTTTATTTATTTTTTAAAAACGCCAACATAGTGTAGCACAGACACTAAGAAATGCACGTAGTAAAAAACAAATAGAGGCATATAAGCGAGCGAACCGAGTAAATACAAATTCTATGATCACCTACTAAACAAAATACTATTGGAAGTAGGAATCATGAGCTACAGGAAATATTGCTCAGTGGCTCAAGCTGACTGAATGACTGAGTGGTTTCAACGTAGAACTTTTCATAGATATGTAGCAGTTCGAGTTGCCATTCTCCCTCCTTGTAGCACACAAAGCAAGAAAAGATAGTAAAGAGAGATTCAAAAGAGAGAAAGATAATAAAAGAAAAAATGAGGCAAAAAGAATAAATAGTACTATGGAAGAATAACAGAGTTCTATTGGATAATATAAATCACAAAGAGTGAATGCATTTGCGTTATTTACCGAGAACGGTTTTGAGTCATATCACCAACTGTCTCCAGCCTTCATTGGTTCTTACTATTCCGAGGACCCCAAACAATCAGAAAGTCCACACCTCCCTACGTGGCTCGCTGGCTTAAACTAGCTGTTGTAAACTCCACCGACTGCTTAGACCATGTTTTGGTTTGACCACAATTGATCTTATATCAGCTAACATTTCCCGTAGAGGAAGGCGATGGCTAGGCCTGGGTAAGATAGGTCTTAACCGTGTCAATCAGTTTAACTTGACATCGTCGTCTGTTGGTTTCCCCTCCTTACTTAGCACTCGACCGATGCCTCACCTAAATGTTGTTCACCCTATTATACTACTCAACACGGGAGATAGAACGCAGACACCTATGATCAAGAACAGCTAGCCTTTTCATGCTTTCCATTCTCAATAACCATGTCTCACAGTCACAAAGGAGGAAAGAGCGAACTGCTGAGCACTACACACGTATTTTGGTCGACAGCCGGATATCACGTCTACGCCAGAGATGGAGTAAGTTGGCTTAGGCACTCGGTTTACAGTCGATAGGTCACGGGTTTGAGTCCCGTTCCAATTACTTCCACCTGGGCATTTGGGTAGTGTCATCATTTCTTATGTGGTAAATGTGGCTCTTAGCTTGGTGTGCATGAGAAATCTATCCTGAGTAATTGAGATTAAACAAACAATAGACTTAAGACAGTATGCGCTTGAAATAGATGTGTCTAGTGATCCATAACTTACAGCAGTTCTCTAGATAGTATTCGTCTGTGACGAAATCTGCCTAACCATCAACCGAATCCTCATAGATTTCAAAATGCAGTCTAAAATATCTGTGAACACCTTATTGCCATTCTTTCCAGTTATCCCTTGTAAGCCTGTACGCAACCACCAAAAGTTTTCAAGTTTGATCACGAAGTGACATCAGTTAAAGAACAATTTAAAAAACCATGGAGTGCTGGACAGATGTTCATTTCCAGTACTCATAACTCCACCCCACAGATCGAAACCAGGACCTTCATGTTACGAGGTGAGTCCACTTTGACCATCAAGTCATCAGGACAAAATCTATTGGCCAAATAATTCTAATTTCTGTCAATATATAATATCATTACTTTACAAACGAAATTACAGTTAGATGAAATCCAAGCTTTATCACGTTGATATACATCCTTATACAATCATATCTGGTTACAGGATTTCATCATGAGCTAACATTAGTTAGAGAACCATTGGAAAACCTGGAAGTACTGGACAGCTGTTTCGTCCTAGTTTGGGACTCTTCATCAGTATGCACACACTGGGGTTCGAACCCAGGACCTTCTGGTTACAAGGCGAGCTCGTATACCATTAAACCACTGGGACCCGATCCAATGGCCCATGAATTCTAACGTCGGCCAATTCCCAATATAGCGCAACTGCTAGCCAATGTTAGTTACCAACGTGACTTACTGCTGGTTACTTTTTTATCGGAGTACATGTTAACAAATATTGAGTTTTGAGCAGCACAGCTGATAAGTAGTAACAATTTAAAAAAAAGAAGCTATTATCCAACAAATAGTATCAGAAACTTACCGATCACATTCATTTGTTTCATGTTTCACAAGTCTATCTAACAATAAATGATAACGTTGAAAACGTTGTACAGGTGTAACAAGACGAGAACTGAATAATAACAGTGGCCGAGTTAATTCATTCGATGATTGTATTGCATCTTGATTGTTCATTTTAGCTGTCAACATTTCTCTACGATATATCTCTTCATTGCATGCTGTTATCCAAGGGGAGTAAACACGATCTTTTTCAAGTGCAACACTCAATTGAACTGCACATTCATGAAGTGAACAATAAACAGTATATAAGTCGACAAGACGTGGGACCTACAAATAGACATTAAAGATTTATGCATATATCAATAAGAAGAAAACAGTATTTACTAAGGGAAAGAAAAGCAACTACATTTCAATGTTTGTTTTTTTATTTTAAATTATCATGACTAATAAATCTATTGTGCTAATATTGAAGAATCACCGTGATTGAGTACAATTCTACCACAGCTGTTTATAACTTAACAATTTAAAGCAATGATTACGTTAGACTTATAAACTTAAACACAATACACAACGCTCAAACTGAAGCAACAACTACACGACAATGTTGTCGTAAGCAAGATAAATATATCCCATAATAAAACCCGAGTCAAGCTAAATAAAGAAAGCCTCTACTCCCTTTATCGTCGACGAGTTGAAGGGAACAGTGAAAATTATTCGTGAATATTTTGACATAGTGGCGATACTGACACAGTTTATAAAAGCCAAGACGAAGAGATAAGCATAGGAAGAAAGAAATCTCTACAGAATTGCAACAGCTCCACGTCTTCGACATTCATAGATAAAAGAAACTAGGTGGATTAAACGTGTTTTAAAACTAACATCTGGTTTTTAGTTGGTGGATGGTGACTAGCAGTGGAATCCAGGATGCGCATTCCGTCCTATTTGGGACTCGTCATCTAGATGTACCTGCATCTCTCAGTGAACGGTGATGTTCCCACCAAGGCTCGAACCCAATGCCCATAGTTTCAAACGCCAAAGCGTTATCCACTAGACCACTTGAGAAATGCAAATGCCAAATAGGACGAAATGCGCATCCTGGATTCCACTGCTAGTCACCATCCACCAATTAAATACAAATTAAATGCCCAGACATCCTGGAAGCATCTGCACAAGAAGCCGACATGTCAACCTGAGACCAAACACTTCGGTTCAATCAATCGACGGGAAAATCTAAAATTTAACTAAGCCTCTGGTTTTACCTATTCTCATTTTGCCTTTTTAATAGGTTTTACATAATGAATTTCGATGTATGCTTCAAAAAGTATTATAACAAAATGTTCATTATCTAGAATTTAAATTAGGCCCACATTTTTAGAAACTATTTTTTTAAATATGCTAATGTTGGAAAATTTACATACGGTAATATTATTGGGTTAGCATTTTATCGGAAACGAAATTAACAACATAGTATATAAATGATAAATATAGGAATAAAGAGTGATATATGTCTGCATATTTCAATTTTCACTACGACTTGATATCAGTTAGAGAACCACTGAAAACCAGGGAGTACTGTACTGCTGTTTCGTCCTACTTCGGGACTCATTGAGAGTATGCACTCAGCACCTCTCAGTTACAAAGCAGACTTTGTAGACCATTCAGCTAATGAAACCCAACTCATTGACCCATGAATTCTAACTTCTATCAATCTGTGATTTTAGCTACAGGAAGACGTTTCCTGGAGTTCTAGTGAGAAGTCGCGATCAGTGGGGTCCACCTGGTCGGGAATGAGGACAAATGCTCATCGATGAAATTGACTGGTAGTAGCGTTAATATCACGAATTTGTAGAAACTAAAATTCATGGGACAATGGGTTGGGGTTCCAGTGATTGAATGATCTACAAACTTGCCTTGTAACCAGAAGGTGATGAGCGCGTACTGCTGAAGAGTGTCAAATTAGGACGAAACAGCAGTTCACTAATCCCTGGTGGTTTTCAATGGTTCTCGAACTGATATCTATCCGTGATAAAAACTGAAATAAATCAAATCCCCACAAACCAACTCTTTAATATATGTATACAGCTTTTGACATAGTATGCAATACCATGAAAGTAACTAACTATTAACACAGTATAGCAAAAGTGTGTTTATTGGTCCGATAATCATATTGCATATTTGGTCTATAGATCGACAAAACTTGCAACTACACAGGTACACTCTGCAACCGGTAAGCATACTTTCTGATATATATATATATATCATATAAAGGATTTGTTGTGATTAGAATACCACTTATTTAAGAAATCAGACATACTTTGAATAAAATACGTGTCAAAATAAAAGTTTATACAGACAAAAGAATCCACTGGTAACATTTAGGCTAACAGAAGAGCCTGATGATGGTGATGATGATAGGAAAATGAAAATGAAGAGGGTAGTATTTGCATAAACGAAAACACATACCATAAGAAATACCCAAGCTTTGATTTTCTCTGCATTGCCATCACACGCCTCCAAATGTGGCAGTAAAGAACTAAAAAAACCACAAAAAAAGAAATGTTAGCAATAAGTAATAAACGAAAATCTCTGTAGAAAAATAACAGATTAAAGTAAAGGCAAACACAATAAACGTATGAATCAGCTGAGAGATTATGTTAAAGATGAGACAATAGGGAGATTGCAACGACAGAAGACAAGGGCTAGGTAACAGATCATTTATCGAGAAAATCAAGAGATATTTATAGATTTTTGTGTACATTATTGTCAGTGGAGAAGCAACGTCTTCTGAATGGTAATTTCCTTGCTGAAGATTATTCTGTACTGCTTGTGGCCGTTTCTTAGAAAGTTAAGCCATTTATCTGCAAATCGTATTTGCACACGTAAGGTTTGCTGTGATTGGTTGGTGAGTTCCTCAAGGTTAGGCTTTGTTAATGTTTTTTCTCATGACCCTGATTCGGGACGTAACATTGATGTAAATTGCTCCCTACAATTTTCGCCTTGCAGCTAGCTCTCATCATAAGATAATGCAGGGTTGTCGACCATTCTATCAAGATTTATAAAGTACCTTAAGTGTGGAATTCATATTCATCATCCCATGGCCTACGGGGTTGGCGACAACATAAACGAACTTCACTCTCCATACATTTAATTTATTATTAGCCACATACTTTTACAACTTTACGAATGATTCTGCTTAAAAATTAAATCTCCCTAGTTTTTTGGTTACAGGATTTCATCATGAGCTGGACAGCTCTCTCTTCCTAGTTTGGGACTCTTCATCAGTACGCACCCACACAGCGGGGTTCCAACCCAGGACCAGGACCTTCCAGTTACAACGTGACCTTGTAGGCCATTCAGCCACTGAGACCAGATCCAATGGCCAGCCCATGAATTCTAACTTCTGCCAATTCACGATATCGCGCAACCACTAGCCAAATACTTAAACTCCCTAGCTTTTCTTACACTTTATACCTACTATTTTAATGAAAACGCAAAAATTGACAGTAACACTTCATAATAAAACAGGAAACAACTCAGACTTTTGATATTATAATGTAGAGTGAGAAACAGATTGTCTAATAAATGAATTATACAAATCAGTGACACTGAAGGTGAATAAGAAAAATCTAACCTGTTATCGCTTTCCTACAAAAGATGAAGAAAACACTGTTACGGACTTACTCTTTATGAAAACGAAGTATCTCTGGCCAGTTACAAAGCAGACGATTTTGATTATCACGCATAAATGTTGGCTGGGGATAAGAACGATATCCTGACTCACAATTGACATCATTATCCACAGAATTTAACCAGACCACCTAGATGAGGGTGAAATAGCAACACATTAAAATATGTGAATAGGATATGCATTCATGTGCAGCATTGATATTAATTTCCAACTATCTGTATTATCTTAATTGTCAGCATTGTTGGAGGTTGTCTGTATAGTCACAGAAGTAGGATTATCACAAGACTGCATATTGCCACTACACATTACTAGAAGGGTGAAGAAGTTTACCCCGTATGTATGAGATCAATTTAATTACCTCTGAAGACAATATTTTGTAGTGTATACTATTAAAAGTGTGTTAATATCAAAAACGAAAGTGAACGAGTCACTGGATCTGTAGATATTTAGCCTTTATATGAAGAATCGAAAATCACCTGAAGAACCACTGAAAACCAGAGAGCACTAAATTTACAATTCGTTAATAAAGACCACATACGAACTCAGGAGGGACAAAAACCCAAGACTATTACATTTCGACGCAGGCATGTCACTATTCAAACACCAGACTGCAAGAATCGTAAAAAGAAAGCTTTGAAACGCACTAAATTCACAGATGATTCAATGAGAAGACTGTGCAGAGACTAAATGTTCATCAGTTACACTGTTATCTTTTTCAATATCTTCACAAATCACTTTAGAGCCCGCTTCGTCAGTTAACTCTTACTCCTAGTAAACGATGAGGGATATTAAAGGTTAGTCGATAAGATGCATCAGAACTCACCTTCACATTTATTGAAAGTCATCACAACAAAAGAAGTACATCGGTTGTCTTGAAGAAATTCCTACTCCCTGTGGAATTGGAACATAGGCGTAGGACACCCAAGTATCGCATTGCCGCCAAGTAACTTAATTCACAGATTTGAACCGATATCAAGAAGTAACTAATCCATGAGTAGTACAATGTAGTTGCCAGTTTGACAATGTGCATATGTTAAGCAGAACACTAAGTGATGGAAATTTCTACTAGAAAGAACATGACTTTTAGATATGTTGTCACAATGTCAAGAAATGTTAGTGAAATGCCCCTGAGTAGATTGCTAGTCTACTGATTAGTTGATTGTTGCGGCACAGTACACCATATAATGCGCATAGTAAGAGAGACACACATACACACACACAAGCGACATAGTACACCAGTACTTACAAGCCCGTACACACACACACACAAGCAAATGCATACTTGCAAACGTAAATACTTCTTTTAGAGAAAGTAAATATTTTACGTGAAAATCAATAAATTTGATCTCTTCACACGATTGATCTCACTCAGAAACTACACAAATCATGACTTTCATTGATTCTACTACTGTAATTATTAAAACAGTATGATATTTTTATGTCCTATAGAAAAATAAATAATAATTGTGTAACAATTTGCTATCCAGTAGAATGTAAAAAAAACAAAATATCTCTTTGACGAAGCTTTTTCACCAAAATATTGTTTGAACTGACGTACACACGCACACACACACACGTACATGTATGCACATCAAAAATTACAATTTGACCGTAACAGCTAACGTACATGTATGTGTATATAGAGCTTAAAGTTCAGTAGGTCGTATTACTGCAGTATTCTAAGAAATTCAGAAGCAAAATATAGAAAAAAAAATATGCCAAAAAACCCTCACCCAAATAAATAATGCAATAAAGCATTGTACACATACACGCACACCACTACTAGGTAATAACATATACGTTTATATATATAGAGAGAGACAGAAAATCAACGATAAACCGATATTGACGCTTGAAAATACAGGGATTGCATGATAAACAAATACACGGATTCATTCACTAGTTCACCCATTTATATATACATATATATATATATATATATACAAATTATTGAAAACAACATTGAAACAATTCAACCAGGAGCCAATTACTGACAAGTTGGAAAAATCCTCGCTTTTACTAGCCTGAATAATAAAAGAGTGTGTATAAATAAGACGAAGAAAACAGTTAATTATGAGAGCTAAATGAACAGTCTCATAAAAAAAAGAAGACAAATAAATTTTTTTACTTTTAGAAAGTCGATAGATAGGGAAAGAAAAAGAGGGACACCTGTAAGTGAAAGACAAAGAGAATAAACAAAGGTTGACTACATTGACAGAATGTCCAGTCTATGAAGTTATTTAATAGGCGGTGATTAGTGATGGAGTCAAGAATTGGTGTTACATCCTATTCAATTCGAGACAGTTTACTTCTTAATGAGTGATGGTATTCCTGTTGAGAACTGGACTCAGTGTCTGCATATTCAAAAGCCAAACAGTTATTCAACAGAATAACGAGTTACGGACAGGGTGAACTTTCGTGTTACGCGCATCGTATATTTATTATTTAGCCTATTGCTTCGAGAGGAACGTCAGGGCTTCAAGAGAGAGCAGCTTTGAAGTTTCAGTGGGGTTGCTAACCTAACGCCCAATCTTCCTGCTTTGTCAGCCTTACTACCGGCTTAGTCAGGTTTAGGAGTGTATCGGCCAGGGACCAGACCTCGGAGAACACGCGTGGTCGGCGAGCATTCTACTGCTGAATCAACGGCGCCGAATTATATGTGGTATTTATAACACCGTACCTTTCCAAAAACCAAATAATAATGCTGTTTGTTTCATTACTAATTTCCGAAAAACCAAACATCAAATTTGCAGATCAATCTCACTACAGTGATTGATGAAACATAGTACCGATATGTACAAATTAATCACTACAAACTCTGACGAAAAAGTTGTTTAGCACTCCTCGATTTTCAAGAATCCTCTAATTGATGTTGCTTCCTGACTAAATCTACACTGACTTACGTATCAGTAACCGAAAATATCTCCTATTTTGGCAGACTGATGATAAGACGGTAAAGATTTCATAAACAACAACGAAAGAAACCTGAAAAGTAGGATTTAACTAACTGCTACTACTCTTACGCTACTATGTGTATTTTACTCTGGGAAAATATTTCGAAAGCAGATCAGTAAGACAGATTCTTTTTTCCATTCGTTACCTTTTATGACAATAACTGTTTCATAGTTTCTATCACTTCCAACCTTCAACGATAACAACAAAATATCTACACACCTTAGCGACAACAGTAAAGAATAGACATCAAGGCCAAATGACCTTGAACCAGCCAATCAGATCGCTCAGCACTACAAATGGATGCTGTTCATTATCTACATTGCAAATTTCACCCAGATTTGGTTTTCGACTTCTGTTTGGAAAAAGAGTTGATAGGGGGGACGAATACATTTATACGTAAAGGGATAATGACTCTTCAAAAATATTGCCGAACTAATGGTGATTATGCATTCAGATGCAATCAATGTTATATGAGGAAGTCTGTAAGAATTGGTAAGTTGTGGTAATTTTCTTCTCGAAATCGAAACTCTGCTTTAGTAAAATATTGCAAATATACCGCAATTGGTTATTGAGACAATCAGTATCTGCTACAGTGGTAGAAACGGAGAATACGAAAATGTCAACAGTGCAGTGGTATCAGCACTATTGGGATATTACTTCTGTACTTGGAGGAATTGGTGTCATCATTCATATTGACGAAATAGCACTTAATAAAAACAAAAAAATGAATCGCGGTAGGAAAAGAGCAAACCTCGTTTGGGTGCTGGGACTGTACGATGCAAATCTTTGAAAAGGGTTAGTAGAAAGCATCCCAAGCAGAAGTATCGACGTTTTAATATCAATACAACAACAACTAGTCCTCCCAAGCACTACCATACCATTAACACAAGCGAGTGGAGAGGTTATTCGCAACTATCATCACTAGGCTACCATTCATCATAAAGTCAATCATGCTTCTGAATTAGATGATCTTATAAGTGGAACCTATAGAACGATTCTGGGCTCACCTGAAAAAAGTATTTGAATGATAAATGGTTCCCAAAATGATATGATATACAGCCACTCAGATGAATTTTTGTATCGACAATGGTTTGGTATGTCTATGGACACTCCTATGAGAGACTGGGAGTGATTTTTGCAGCATATTAGAGATAGATACTCTGTATAATTCATTTTTATTATATATTTATCTTATGAATACACCTTTTTACACAATAAATGCCACTATTCGCCTGGAAGAACCTGATTGGTTGGTTCAAGGTCACTCGACCTTGGTGTCCATCGTTTACTGCTGCTCACCCTAGTTAATGTAGTGCGAAAGTTATCGTCATAACAAGGAGATATTAGTACCAAAATAGAACACCATGAATGTTCAACTTACATCGTACACATGCTGTAAGAAATTGACATAAGATTTCTCTGTATCTACCAATTCTTTCCAGGCTAATTGATATCGTTTAGCTGGCGTTGATAATGAATTTGATGACCCCAGTCTTGGTAGCTGACATAATGAGGCTGAGTTTGTACACTGACCTGAACTGTTTACCTTGTTATTGTTAAGTCCCTGGATTAAAAACAAGTAAAAATAGTATTAATAAGATGAATTACAAGCGAATATTAATTTCAAGTTACACATGTAAGCAATAGAATTCCATATCGCATACATTAAAATATAACTAAGTAAGTATGATACGTTTTAAAAGTCTACGCAGTTAGAATATTGGTCATACAGATTTTGAGTAGCCTTAATGACTGACTGCCAACAAAGCAACTTGATTATTGAAAGAGATTTGGAAGTAGTTGACACGTCACAACTGTTCATTATTCTTAGACCATTCTCTCTGATATTCGAACATATAAACAATGGATTATCCTCTTGTGGTCAGTTCTTCTATACGGGTCAAGAACTTGGTCAAAGTGTTACGAGAAGGATATCCAACAAACCACTACAGACTTTTATCAACAGCTGCCCACTTCGCTGGCTGGCTCCATATTGAAGTTCAAATAGCCAGCAGGCCATAAAGAATTAGCAAGAAACTCTGCAGTGGAACTAACCAACCAAGAGCCGATTGCTCAAAAAATATGTAGGAGAAAATAGAGATAGATCGGGCATATGTTGGGAAGGCCGTCAAATGAAATCACGCGCCAGGCCATAGCTCGAGTGGAATCCCAATAGGAAACGACGAGTGGGTTGTTCGAGAGTGACACGGGGGAGATTGTGTGGCGAGGGAGAGATGAGAGATTATGGTCAACCGTGGACTTAGCTGAAGAGGACAGGAGAAAATAGAACAAAGTGGAGATGTGTTGTTGAAGTCCTATGTTCCACTCGGAACCCAAAGGAATAGTAATAATAATCCTCTTGTAGAGGTATAGTGATCGAGGCCAGTCTGGAAATAAGCCACAGGTGGCTATGCATCCTTTTATGGTTGTCTTCTCTCACGCCCACGTCATTGGCTGCCTTCTGTAAATTTACTGTGACTGATATTGAAATATACTTTTCGGCTCATATCGTAGTTTTGCTTAAGTAGAGCTGGCTGGGGAAAAGGCAGCTGTTGTATAGTGCTGTCGTTAGACTAGCGATATTCGTGATCACCGCGTTTATGTTCAATTTGACGTCCCTATTCAACTCAACGTATCACAAAATATAAAAGTGGTGACAACAAATAAAACTTTCCTAAATTTGTTCTTGACACAAAACGAAAACTAAGCATTAGGCTAGTTTGCTAAATATCCTAGAAGATAGAGCTTAGCCCGGTAAAAAGAGTAGTATAACTTTTCTAAGTATACCAGTCTTTTTTAGATGAAAAAGTATATCAAGTTAGGCAAAAACTATCATTTTACTGTTACCAAGTAATCAATCTCATTCAGGGTTTGACTTATGCAATAATTTTATAACAATAACATTCAACTGCACTGCATTTTCAACGCGGAGCTTTGGACAAAAGCGTAGTAGTCTAAGCTGCTCCACGCCATATAGCACACATATAGGCAGGAAAAAAGATATGCTAAGAATATGCAACAAACAGAAATCTATGAGAGAAAGGATAAACACATGAAGAATAACGGGGCTTTAATAAATCTGGGAGATCAAAAAAGGTGAATGTATCCGCATCAATGAAAACGATATAAGAACATAACTTGGCCACTGTGGTACAGTTTGAGCTTATCAGAGAATAAATTTATTTGATAAAAGCACAACATTATTTACTGATGACATTACAAGCACAATTTTACTGTTCATAATCATATCAAGGCTTAAACCAACAGTCAAAGATATCATGGAATGATACCAGGTTTTAATTTAACCACCCCCTAACTTTTTTCAACCCAATTCTATGCCACCGAACACTGTTCAACGAGGAAGGCGATGGTCTGGTATGTTCAACACGTATCTTAACCATCTCAGTCGACGCAGCTTCACATCCTCATCCACTGAATGCCGTTCCTTAGATATGATATAGAAGATGTGTAAATTAGGTGGATGATACTTCAAAATGAAGTGGGCGCTGAAGATGTTGACTAGGAAGACAATGAAGGCTTTGCAATTAAACCATCCAACTTAGAGAACACAACTACACTCTTTCTCGTTACCTGACACTATGTTTAACATGAACATTACTCACTGTAGCATACCAACTAACAAGTGATAAACAGTGAACACAGCTAGCCACTTCGGCCATAACAAAAATAACAATTATTGGTTTGAAGAGAGAAAGAACGAACATGTTTGCAGGATAATACGAGCTCGTTTTATTTCATGGGTTCTCATCAACTGCATACATCCTAAACAAAATCAATAAAGTTGTGGAACATACTTTTTCATAATTACTTTGATTTATAGATAGAAGGCATAAGGAACAGAATTCCAGAATTTGATGTAGCTAGACAGATTATTCGGTGTAAAAAACAACTAATTATATATAGTGGAATCAGATAAGAGGGGCAAGAGTTCAGATTTCTATTGGAAAACACAGATTAGTTAGAGGCATATTACAGGGTCAGGGTCAGAGAACAGAGTGAATTTACACACCTTGTGGTGGAGAGTTTAAGAGGGTGGGGTGAATAGTGAAGTAACATTTTTAACTTAAACAGACAAACAATTAAGTAGATTTAGAAACTACCTACATCAAATTCTGGAATTATGTTCCTTATGCCTTCTATCTATAACTCAAAGTAATTATGAAAAAGTATGTTCCACAACTTTATTGATTTTGTTTAGGATGTATGCAGTTGATGAGAACCCATGAAATAAAACGAGCTCGTATTATCCTGCAAACATGTTCGTTCTTTCTCTCTTCAAACTAATAAAGGGAACCGGTTGCATGAAATAACAATTATGTTATTAGGATTTCACCATAAATTGACATCGGTTAGAAGACCATTACAGTACTGGACAGCTGTTTCATCGTAATTTAGGACTCTTCACCAGCACGCACCCAACTAAGGGGCCCGCCAAGTCAGGCAAGAGGATAGTTATTTGCCTATGACGTTGGTTGATGGTTGCTCTGAATACCGTGAATTGGTGGAAGTTGGAATTCATGAGCCATTGGATCGGTTCTCAGTGGCTGAATGGTCTGCGAGCTCACCTTGTGGGCAGAAGGTCCTGGGCTTGAACCCCGGCGGGTTTAAAGTACCAAAGAGTCCAACACTAGGACGAAACAGCTGTCCAGTACTCCCAGGTTTTCCAATGGTCCTCTAACTGATGATGAAATCCTGAAACGAATCAAATCCCTGCAAACCAACATTTGAATTATGTTATTATTTTGAAATTCTGATCTTATGATGTACGTTTAACCAAGGTATTTAGTAATAATCATAACTTAGAAAGATGTTTCAGCGACTTTAGAATACTAATAAGATGACCAGTCTTTTCAGGCGTTAAATTCTTTTTCCGAAGAAAAAAAGAAATATATATATGTGTTGAAGTCAGTATAAATAAAAGCGACAGAATAGAACAAAGTAGATATAACCTACCTCTGAAGATGATGATGATGATAATCGACCTGATTCATTAGCTTCTTGAACAGGTGAATTTCTTTCAGGACTAGTTATAGTACTATTATTACTACTGGCAAAAGATTGTGAATTAGGATGATTTCTTGGAAAACTTGTACGTGATATGTGTTGACGAATTGAAGCAATAGCAAGATTACAATTTTGAGCTAAATCCTCCACTTGTTTTAATAATTTACTTAGTTGAGTCTGAAAAATAAAGTTAGCATATGAATATTTTTTTTAAAATGAATTAAAAACTACTAAATTAAAGTAAGAACTTTCAAAATCCTCTTCAAAATTTCATGAAATATGCATTTTTCGGTTATTTCTGTTTGATGTTCATCTACTTTCAATAAATAATTAAGTAGATTTTGTCACCAGATTTTTCCGACGACATAACTTGGATAGAGGACTATTGAAAACTAAAATGGCCATGGACAAATGCTCCATCCTAGTGTCAAACTCTTTTGACAGTACAAACGCAAAACCTAACAGGTTACAAATGTTACTCAATCGCTTCTTTATAACTAACTACAAGGTAATCTCCGCTTAAGTTCATCAAGTATATAGAGTTACATCAGATGGTAGAAGCGTTATATAGTAAATTGACAGAAGTCGAAATCCATGGGTCATAGAATTCCTGCTCAATTGCTGAGTGGTAAATGTATTCGCGTCGTAACCTGAAAGTTCCGTGTTCTATTCTTGGTGGTATTGTGGGTGCGACCTATTGAAGAGTCATATAAAGAGGACAAAGTAACCATTCCATGCTCCAGAGTTTCTAGCTGATATCGCTTTATGACGAAATCAACTTTGTAATCTGTTTTAATTTTGAGTTTTATTAATGAAATTTACTCAAACAAAATCTCAGGAGAGGATGCTAAGGAATTTTATTATCACTATGAATAACAGATAGTAGGACTGCTATTTGGATCAAAATATAGGGGCAAAAAGTTTCCTTCCATTCGAAAAGTTAAATAAACAAAATTAGTAAGTCAGTTTGTGTCGGTGTTACAGCGGTAGAATGCTCGCCAATCAAGTTTGTGGTTCGGGGTTCGATCCCCAGACGACGCAATCCATCACCTCACTAAGCCAGTAATAACATTGTGCATGAGGCTAGCAACCCCACCTTGTAGAAATAAACACTACAGCTATCGAAACTTCAAAGCTCAAGCTTGAAGCCCTGTGTTCCACTGGGAACGTAAAGGAATAAAATTAATTAAAATTAAAGTAAGTCAGTACCGTTTAACGTGAATAAAAATGTTTGCTACAAAAACTGTTGCCTGACCAAACAAAACGATCGACTCGAAGTACTACTTTTACCACCAAAAAACCAATTTTGGACGTCAAAGTGTGAAAGCATAAGATACAAAGCCATAACACAGAAGTACATAATATACTAATCCACTGAAAGTGCCCGTTAAAAAGTTAAAAGACTCATTATTGAACAAAGAATATTCTTTTCCACAAATTCGTCTTCAAGTTCTACATTTATATGACAGTAATAATTAAAGAAATATTGTTATTAACAATATCAACGTTCTAAACTATACTAAATCGATATTTATATTGATCGTTGCTCTAGAGGCCTTAGTTTTTGTGCTCGGGAACACCCGCCAATGTAGTAAAACAAAGGTGTTGTTAAAATGGTCAACCTATATTGGACCATCTCATGAAAACCGGCTATCGTTGAAGTATCTTCTTCAATCATTTACCGAGTGTCAAATACTTTACGAAAGGACCCCAGATACCAAACACTCCAAACAGTAGAGGCCATTGCAATACGGCTAAATCAACCGGAGCTCTGCATGCAAAAGAAGCAGGTCCAGCCGCCAGTAATGCTACCCTGGCCTACCGTCGAGCCTATGGATTCATAAATTCTGCGTTACTTCTCTTAATCTATCTGATATTTAGTTAGTGTTGTATTAATGCATATAATCTCTTATTGATGCTTTCGAAATGTAATTCGTCAATACTAAAGGATTGAATGTCATTTTAAGCATTTATATTGTTGATAACAATATTACTATCATATAAGTATAGAATCTGATGGCGAATTTATCGAAAAGAATATTCTTTATTCAATTAATGAGACTTTTAAATAGTTTTCTAACAACCTAGAACGGAACATTCATACTTACCTTTAAATCAGCATCCAGCAATCCAGTTAATCGTGTATGAAATAATTTCGGATTTCCAAGTAATTCTAATCTTGTTTGACGTGAAGTAGTAAATGCAACCAATTCATCCATATGTGTTCGACATTCTGCTAAATCCATGCCAGTGAGTTTCTCTGGTGGTGTCACTGTCTCTAATAAATGACGTCCTTCTTTAATCCATGATGCAGCCTAGATAAAATAAAGAAATTAATATCGTCTTATCGTGAAATTACCTGAAATGAATACAAATCATTGTGTGAAAGAATATCTGTGTAAATTCCCACCGCTTTTAAACAACCATAATGCTGCCCGGTAGAATGTAGATTAGCCTTGATCGGAATTACACCTGGTTGTGAATTCATATATGAAAGCTGAAGGGTTAATTATTCAACTCAGTTTAATCCAATAATGACGTGCTACAGAAAAGTGTGGAGGCTACTGAAGATGAAACAGTAGCTAGAAGAGACGTTGAAATTTTTCAAATAATACAGAATGGGTATACGTGAATAATGCTTATTTTGTTTGAGTTTCTTTTTTTACTGTATCGATGACTGTATCGTTATATCATGCAGCAACATTGGCCATTAAAGTGTGCTTCACACAACGTAACGTGTGCCGGTGGTTTAGTGGTAGAATATTCTCCACCCACTCACGTGGTCCGACATTCAATTTCCGGCCGAGATACTCCTTAACCTCACTTAGCGCCTCTAGAAAACTCGGTAAAGAAAGTTGGGCGTAAGGATAACAACCCCATCCCGTAAGCAATAAACACCACTACTAATGAAAATTCAGAGCTACAGCTTGAAGTCCTGTGTTCCCCTCGGAAGGCAAAGAATTAAAGCTTTTAAAAATACCTACTGTCGACCATCATCCTACCTTCAAATTTTGTATAATGTACGAAAGTGTAGTACGGAATAGGGCGATTATTGTTGGGGAAAAAGATGATTGCAGTACTCAACAATAAGATTAATACGCTTGGGATTTTGTTCCACAGAAAAGTTACTTTTCATTCACTTTATTTCAGTATCATGAATGAATAGTAATTTAAAAATTGCTTTGGTTAGAAGTAACATAGTAACATGGCAACAAATGAGAGTATGAGTAGCTGAGACAATGAAGTCACACCTAGATATGTTGGAGAAGATTTGTAGCTTAGGTGGATGATTTTGACGTAGTTGTGTTCTCTAAGCTGGATGGTTTATTTTTGAAGCTTTCATCACTGCCTTACTAGGCAACATCTTCAGTGCATACTTCAATTTGAAGTGAGACTTCAGAATCCTCCACGAGTTCATACGTCATCTCCCCAGGTGATCTACGAATGCGATTAGTTGTTTTTGTGTGTTTTCACACCTTCTAAGCTACTTGTATTGGTACAGATTGTTTTCTTGACCTAAAGTTTAAGTATTTGTGCATGAGATTTCCCTCTTATGAATTGGAAATTTTACCTATTTCAATCTGGCTGTTAATCGCTGATTCACTGGAATACCAGGCTTCTAAAAATTCTCTGACATTCTTGGTGAGAGACTTTATCAAAATAAAATTTACCCATAATGGAATTACACTCTACCACAGTGCACAAGTTTTATTCTTATATCAATGATTCTTGGTGTTGCCTCTGGCTAATATTTGAACATTCTTCGTCCCAGTCGAATTGATGTCCGTGGTTGTCTGTATGCAACGATATGAGGGAGTGGATGTCATGTCTTTTGACAGCTAGTTTATGATCATGGATACGAAGACGAAGAGGGCGTCCACTTTGGCCAATGTGGTGTTGTTCGCAGTCATTGCAACGACATCGTCTTCACCAGATAATTTTTGGAAGCCTGATATTCCAGTGAATCAGCAATTAACAGGCACACTGAAATATGTAAATTTATCAATCGATAAGAAGGAAACCTCGCACACAAAGTGTCAAACTTCAGGTCAACGAAACAATCAGTACCAATACAACAAGCCTAGAGGGTGTGAAAACACGCGAAATCAACCAATCACGCTCAAGGTCACCCACCAGGAGAGATGTCTCATAAACTCGTGGAAAATTCTGAAGTCTCACTTCAAATTGAAGTATGCACTGAAGGTGTTGCCTAGTAAGGCAGTGATGAAAGCTTCGAAAATAAACCATCCAGCTTAGAGAACACAAGTACATTGAAGTCACATCTATTCACTGTAGACATTAACATAATGAGGATTTTCCTTTTATCGTCCTAAGTAGTTTACAGCTCAGTTTACGAATATTTGACAGCCTTTTTTTCCACGTTTGAGAAAACAAATAAAAATGAAGAATATACAAGAAAAATAGGCAGTAAAAGATTACTCACATTATCAATTTCTGTATAAAGTTGTAATAACCGATTGATTTGATCAGCTGCTTTCGGTAGATCCGTACTAGCTAATTCAATCATACTTTTAAATAATATAGACCATTCTTTGATAGTAGAAGGAAATCTTACTGATGGAAAACGTTGTTTCATGCATTCATCAAATTTTGTATTTAATGTGTAATCAGTGTCATGAAATGAATCCGGGTTAGACGATGCCGGTTCACTCATCTCCTCCTCTCTTGAGCATAAGGATAAACTAGAATTATGATTGAGATCAGTGTATTGATGACTGGTATTTATTGACAGTGTTGTCGGCATCTCTGAGCAAATATTATTTGGTATTAAATCAGCACTTAACAATCCGCTTACATCACAGAGGAATGAAGCTTTAGGAAATAACACCATAGAGAAGATAAGCAATACTGTTAAAAAATAGTATATTTTATAAAGTTCATCGACAGTTATATAAACACAAAATCTATATATAAATGGAAGTACACAAATTAACCCCTTGGGATGTTTTTTTTCCTTCACGTTCCCAGTGGAAAATAGGGCCTCAAGCTAGAGGCTTGAAGTTTCTGTAGCAGTGGTGTTTATTTTTACAGGATAGGGTTGCTAGCCTGATGCTCAACCTTCCCTCTTTACCAGCATTATTTCTGGCTTAGCGAGATAAAGGAGTGCATCGGCCGGGGATCGAACCTCGGACCATGTACATGGTCGATGAGTGTCCTAACCGCTATGCCACCGACGCACCTTGGAATGTTAACACTACTAAATGTTTAGTTGATATCTCTATCGACCAAGTTTGCAGTTTATCTATGAGAAAATAAACTGATAAAACATGATACATATGCATCACACACTGATTGTCCTAGGAAGACCAGTTATGATACAATAATGTGTCAACAAACAAACAAGCCTAGGGTGAACAGTCTCCTATCATGTGATTATTAGCACACTGATTACCAAACACGACGAAGTGTTATTTTTCTACATAAATAATGTAACTACTAATCAATACAAGACCGTACATAATATTCTACTGATGTACCATATACTAAGCTAATAAAGAAGAGTTTATTATTGGATAAAAAGTAAACACGACAAAATTGACTATTGTTCATACTGAAATAATAAAAACAGGTTTAAACTTGCTACTTAGTGATAAGTGACTCGGAACTTTGAGTCCGGTTCCAAAGTTACAAATACTGTTGCGGTGAACTCACATCATCCGCTTACTACTGATGATAACTTAGTCTGATAGAATGTAAACTAACTACTGACATAAAACAATCCACAAAGTATGGTTAATAACTATCGCGTTAAGCTATTAAACACCCTATGGAAAGAGAGCTCTTCACGGCTTACGTTTATTGTCTGTTAGCATTTATCAACAATGGAATTGAAGCCTTTTCAAACATTGAAAATTGAATAACTCAATAATGCAATAATCTCACCGATAAAAACTCTGTTAGTACTTGAAACTAAAGAATACAGAATTTCGACTGGTCTCCGATGTTCGATAGAAAATAATTAATTATTTATTAATTAATCTATCAAAACAAACTTGGTAGAATATAGGAACCAAGAAATAAGCTATACAAAAAATAAAAGACCCAGCAATTCTACAAAGGCAGCGATGATCGAACACGCAGAGTCACCTCGCAATTTCAGATCGGAGAGGTCAGATCTCACAGGCGTTACAACGGCGCCAGATGTAGCCCAAGTTAGCGTTAAGTACCCTGGCTTTTATGATACGACTGGAGACTTCATCAGTCACACTTTTTTCTAATACTCATTCAAATACCCAGATAAATGAAATTATCGACAACTTCAAAGAATATACCTACGAAGGTGAGTGAAGCTACAGAGGTGTATGACAATCTTGCGTTTTTTAAGCAAGACAGTACCGGTCAAAATACATTCAGATGTTGCCATATATAGAATCGTCAACGTATGGTGTAATAATTACTTCACGCCCAGCTTAAACTGCTATCCTAATATTACCTTAACAAATGTGAGAATGAAGCGGTTATGGTAGACATCAAGACTGATGGAACATACCTACTATCAGCTTCCGCGCTTAAATAATTCAAAATCGAATTTCATCTTCAATCACTCCTTCAAGAAAGATTAGTTTTACGTAAGATTATCTCATGAAAATTGGACTTTTGAAGTGTTCACTGAAGAGGCTATCTACACAGAAAATCAACAAAGGTTTTGCACTTCACATTAGCAAATCAGAGAAGCGAACGAGGGAATTCGGAGATATCAACTCCATAAGTCGTAGGAAGTTTTTTTAAAAAAAGGAAAGTATAAGAAAAATGAAAGAATACAAAAAGATTTCCAACACATTTGTACTTATGTGATCTACTCTTTGAGACGTTCTGTCACTGATGTCTCAAAGAGTCTACCCAAAAACTTCGTGTTTCTAGACTAATATTTGCTTCAGAATACAACGGTTATTTATTAGTATATGATATTTATTTTTAAAAGAGTCCAAGGTATAAATTCTTTTGATTGCCTACACACTAATTAAATGAGTGGTATATGTTGTTTCATAACAGAAAAGGTCATCAATTTACATTATTACGTAATAGCAACTAGAAACATACGAGTGTCTCTAGCCAAAACAACAAATAAATCAGATACCTATTAAAAGAAATATGTGATTACCTTCGTGATTATGCTTCAGATCATTACCATCAGATATCTCTTGTTTACACACAATAAAAGATTCCAGTGTATTTGTAATTTTAGCCAACTCTTCCAATCGTGGCAGCAGGCGACCACCAGTAGTTTCTGCTTCTAGTATCCGACATGATAATGACTCCAAATCTTCTAACATAGTTTTACTCAACGATGAATTCGCCTCATCACAGTCATCTTTTAATGCAGAATGTATGATACAATGTGATGGTGAATAGCCTAAAGTATTAGTCACCTTATTACTACTATTACTATCTGAAGATGATTGACTAGAATGGTGTAGTGGAGATAACGAGGATGAATTGGACATTTTAACTGGTAAATAATCAACCAAAGATTCGATAAGATTATTCCATGCATTTGAAAGTGCAGATAACTGAAAGTAAATACAGTAAAAAAAAGAGGGACAATAAGAATGCAGTAACACAGAAAGAAGTATTCCGTATACAATCTATAATATCACGACAACAATAATAATAAACATTTACGAATCATAACAGCAATTTATTTGTGTTCCAAAAATAGATAAAACCACATTCCTTAGAAACAGTCAAATGGTGCCAAGACTTGTACGTCAAAGGCTTTCTTGCTAGACAGGAAGGTTTATTTAGTTGTTCTGTCCATGGGGATTTTGAGTGATTCAGAGGTAAATTTTGTCACACACAGCGCTGGAAAGCAAAAATTTTTTAACAGTGGCTAGCTACTACAGATTAATTCTAAGCAAGCAGATTTTACTGGAAACAGCCTACAATCTCTATTTTTCGTCTATTTCTGAGATATCACAACCTGATTCACGAAAAAATCCCCCATAAATTTAATTTTCGCCATGCATAGATAAATAAGTACATACTAACAGATGGATGATGATCAGTAGAGCTTTGTGTGCTTTTGGAAGTGTGTAAGCGATTGTTACTTCCTGACTGTCCACACCGCGGAAGTTGGTTTTTTTTCATGGGGTACCTGAAACAAAAAAGAACTAGCGTTGTGTGACCGCAGAGCTCAAGGGACGACCACTCGAGGCAGGCAGTTGTGTCCGCATTAAGATATTATCGCCGTGGGGAAAGTCGATATGTACAACTTTCGGGATCGACCTTTTCTAAGCCCCCGCCCTCCAGAGTGAACAGGTAGGAAAACTGGCATGCTGGTCATCTGAGGAAAGCACCTTCCCACAGACCCCCAAAAGCGTAAGCAAATTACGCTACGCTGGTAACTGCTTTCAGCCAAATCGCTATCCTAACGACATTTCTGGTATGGTAGGACCTTGGAGAACATTAGTTCCAGTCAGTGTGGCTCGTTGGGTCATTGCGATATGCAAGCACGACCACCATGTCAAGGTGGCAGTTACACTTGACCTGATGTCTCATACCACTATGGTGGTTACAAAAAATAAACATAACATCGACCAAGGCTAAAAATGTTCATCAGGAAAACTGAATTTCTGAAGTTCAGTTCAACTGCGATCTAATAATGTTCTCTAAAGGGTTCAGAGATTATTATTATTATTATCAAATCACTATGATTTCTGTATTTTTGTTTATTAAATATCACTTTCAATGGGGAACATTAACTTATTGACTAGGTACCACCAATAATAAATACTTGTTAAATTATGAAACAAATTTTCTATTAAGAAAACTAAAATAAGTGATGATAAAACAAGGAGTTTAAATGTACGTACCAATAAGGAACTACACTGTCACTAAAACTAAACACACTGATACATTCCACAACATTAATGAGACTATTCAATGTAGCACCAGTTTAGCGGGTTACTTATTGTAATAAGGAGACAGTTAAAAATGAAGCCGAAACTATACGCCATAGGTTGAATTTCCTCCAAAAACTCTGGGTTTTGTCTTCGAATTCAAAAGTACTTAAAATAAATCCAACATTTTATTTAACTGATTATGTTTTGAAACAGCTCCAAGTAGAAGGAATTACAATTTTGAATACCTCACTTAACCCCTATCATTATAATTCTCATGGAAAACTAGATTAGTGAAGTCATTTCTTACTACTCGGTATAGGCAATCATTTGCACAACAGCATTTCACAATTCTACACCTCATTAAACTCAAAATTTCTTCTCTAGATAGTAATTGTGCAGCACCAGCGACCACTACGCACTATATAGATACAGTGAGTACAATTGTTATAGAGATATTAAACTGTATCATGATAGTCAATACTACTATTATTCTTATTCTATACTTCTTTCTGTTTGACATTTCAGTTAAAGAATGAATAATACAGCCATCATATGATATCAGGAGTAATTTTCAGATACCTAATGCTACAATAACCCGCATCTCCACTGACTCATCTAGTGAAGCATTATTAAACACTTCGCTTGGTTCATTTTACAGACTTCCATTTTAAAAGTTTTTTTTAAGCAAAAAATAAATAAATTATAAATAATGGACTTAGAATATAATTACAAATAAACAAATGTAAGTTATGTTGAAAAAAGCTTTTTTTCGTTTACTAAGTTTGATTTTTCTCACACAGTACATGTAATGTTAGTCTACACGGCATCCTAGGTACACTTCACAAAAGGTTTATTATTTCTATTGTTCCCTTGGGTTCCGAGTGGAACACCGGGCTTCAACAATACATATCCGCTTTGTCCTATCTTCTCCCGTCCTCTTCAGCTGAGTCTACTATTGCTCAAACTCTCTCATCTCTTCCTCGCACGATCTTTCATGTCACCCTAGGACGACCCACTCGTCACTTCCCATTGGGGTTCCACTCGACCGATGGCTTGGCACGCAATGTCATTCAACGGCCTCCTCGATCTATGCCCGATCTATATCCAGTCTCTCCTAAATATTTCTTGAGCCATAGGCTCTTGGTTAGTTCCCAGCCAGAGTTTCTTGTTGCTTATTCTTTCTGGCCATTTGATCTTCAGTATGGAGTCAGCGAAGGCAGATGTTAATAAAAGTTTACAGCGGCCTTTTGGAAATTCTTTTCGTGACACGCAGTGCAAGTTTCTGACCCGTATAGAAGGACCAAATTGACACTGGTGTTAAAAATGCGAATCTTGTTCCTTATGCTGAGTGTAGATTTCCAAACTGGTTTCAGGTTGATGAAGGTGTATCTTGCCTTTCCGATTCTGACTGGTTTTGACATCTTCATCTGTTCCGCCTGTAGTTGAAACGATGCTTCCTAGATAAGTGAAGAAGGTAACCTCTGTTAAATCTTTCCCGTTGGTGGTGATTCCTGCTGGCTGTTGTTGTTGCTGCTGCGGTTCATTGGTTATCTTCATCACCTCAGTTTCCTCCATGTTCACCTGGAGTCCTGTCAAATAAGGTTTACAACCCCATTTCTCTCAACCTAATATTAGGTGAATTAATCAATCACATACTGGTTAGATGTTAAAGTTTTGTTTCATGAAACAATAATGAGTGTTCAGATGATTTTCCCTCAACATCATTAGCAATTTCCGTGTACATAATAAAATTTTGTCGAATACTGACAACCTAGATATGATGCGACTTCTCTAATGAGTGACAGCATCAATGCGTTCAACAATTTTCTACTGACGAATGTGAGAACTAGGCTTTATATGAATAAAAACATGCATGCTATTCACATATTCTTCTGATATGTTGAAGAGTTAATATTTCACCAGCCCTTCACCCAATATAACTGCATTATTTGTCTTTTATAAATTTATTTCTCAATGACCAGGAAAATATTCTTACTTAAATCAAAAGAAAAGGTTATTCAGACGTTTTGTTACGGTAAAGACGACTTAAAAGTAGGAATTTTAAGTGGTCACAACACGAAATATGCATCTTATACAATGCTCTGACATATGCTATAACACAAATACGTGTTAGAAGGGACGGCTACAACTATCATTGAGTGAGCAGCCCCACTACAGTACCTCCGCCAATGGGATATCAATGACGCCTCACAGTCAAGTAGTACAGCTCGAGTCAAACATCAAAAAGTATGCCTTTTCCGAGATTTGACGGACAATGAAAATCTAGTTAATGTGCTTATGGTGATGCCCATAACCAGAAAAAATTATAAAATTTACTACATTTAAGACTATAACAAAGGCTAGGTCACAGGGCTTCACAACATGAGATATATTCTAATCATAATCATTTCTGAATTGATGCCATAAACATATCTCAGTTTTATGCAGCACGGAGTTATCAGCTTCCCACAGCAGTAAGAAGGAAACAAATTCGACCCACACCCAAATAAAATACCTCTCTCAGTCTAACCAAAGTTTGTAATTCTCTGTTTTTCAAAACTTTTAGTGGTGGTTAGTCAAAACTTGGTATTCTTCCACCTTTATATAAACGTAGTTCAAACATATGACTCGGTAGTAAGCAAATAAGTGACAGAGGCGAGTAGAACCTTTTCTTAAAGGGCTCTCTTTCAATTATTTTATTCAACCACCTTGCAAGTGGATCAATAATGCAACAATCTTAAACAGAGCTACTGAATATCTCACAAGTTTTCTTCACATGAGTCGAGATGATTACAGTCTCACAGTCTTCATGTACTTACTTATTCTTATTGGCTAAGAATGCATACATAAAATCAGTAACACCTACCTCATTCCATTACAAAAGATGGAGGCTATGAGAATACCTAATCACCATGCCTTTTCTGTCTGCGAAAGCTACAGTAAACTAAATTACAGCAGAGACGATTGCTGAAGAACATTCCCAACTGACAAATATGTGGATATTTCGTAAATGCCAAAAATTGCGTTAGTAAAAGCTTTTGTATATGGTTTAATTTTACTAGCAACTCCTTTATGGTAGTTAGTGAGACGCTTCACATAACTAGTGATTAAAACACTCAGTCACTTTACTTCTGTTTGTCAAATTAAGTGTTGCTAGAGGCTAGTCTCGAAGCATTCTTCCGGGAGAAGAACAATTCATGAAAATTGGGAAGTAAGTACAATCATTATAACTACATTTCACGATGAAGTTTGCCCATTCGCAACTGGCAGAATACAGATATGATCTTGCAGTTAAATTTACGTTTGGAACGTCTCTTGTTTTTCAGCGTACGTTGCTTCTGAGATCTACACAAGCGCAACTATCTACGAAATATGATACATGATAGGTCAAAATAATTCTCTAGCTTGTGACGGCTTCGAAAAAGTGTAACTTACTAACTACTTGCAATTTTGTGAACATGTATTGTGTAGGCAATAACACTACTACCTGGATGTGAGAATTTCGATAGACGGACTACTTTTTTCAACTGATGACCCAGCAGTAAAAGCTAAATGCTTCAATCAATCAGACACCCTCATTAAAACATTTGAAATCATGATTCATTGGTCACAGGAACATAACTCACGTGTACTACTTGTATTTAACCTACGCTGTATGGTGGGTATACTTAGTCGTAAATATCCTTTTTCTTAATTTGCACAGTATGAAATTTCATAGGTAGGTGTGTAAGCCATTTGGTAATTGTCTGACTGATCGTCAAAAATGTAGGCTTTGTAAGAAGAACAGTACTTCTGAGGAACTAATGTACATTAGGGACACCCAAGAAAAATAACCCAGGATCTTTGTGCTTTAAAAATATTCGAAAGATGAGTATATTTACGTTATTTGAATACACCACCTAAAGATTTAGAGTGTGAATATCTGACTCGAATATCTGGGATGGCAAAGTTAAACTTTAAGCACCACTAACTACCAATCAGAGAATGACCTATAAAGCACCAATCACATAAAGGAGGCATTTCTGTGTATGGAATACCTGTATTTATGGAAAAAATGCATAAAAGCTGTATAAAGTGTTGCAGAGGATACCTTCCTCTCAGTTTTAGGTTGCAGCATCAACAGAGTATAATTCCAGATAGGTAAAATTTGTTTTGATAAAGTTTCATAGTGTTATACAGTAATATTTCCTGAGCAATAAAATGTGTTCGAAACGTCATCACTGTGAGAATTTATCAAAATAAATTCTACCCACAACACAATTATACTCTACCACAGTGCAAAAGTTCTATTCTTATATCAACAGAGTAATTTAACCACATTCTATGCATGTAATTATTTAGTTCTTCTAACCCTAACAATAACCCTAATCCTTACTGGACCTAACCTTAACGTGAATATATCCCTAAACTAACTGTAATCTAACTCGAACCAAACCGAATGTCGCCTTGATTAGGTTAACCTAACCCTAACTTGTCCTTGGCTTAAAGCTTAGCTTAATCTTTCTCAAACCTAAAATGAAACTTGCCAGGTATCCCATTTAATAGCATAACACTTCGATGAGCATATTTTATTGATGGTGAAAACATTATTTGCCAGGTTTCACTAATTTGCTCAGTGAGCGTCTGAAGGTCATTGGTGCGGTAGCACTCCATTGGTAGTTAGTGGTGCTTAAAGTTTAACTTGGCCTCTGGAATTTCACATGTTACGTCAGAGGACATAATTATCGGAGGGAATAAGCTTTATGTGTGATGAACTGACCTAACTTCTCATACCGTTACATCATATAAAAGAAATTACAGTAATCCTAGAAAAAAACAAAATATTTTCGATACTTTAAAATATTTACATAGTAGAAACAATAACTGGGCTAGCAGATTAAAATCTAATCAAACATCAATGCCTACCTCATAATACTGTTTTTCAATATCACTAACAAATGATGTAATACGAACTCGTTTAATATATTCGCTCCAATAACGTCGTAACTCAGCACGAGCTTCTGTTAGTCGAATGAATATACGATCAAATGAGATCATATGAAAAACATAATCAACTGGTAAATCATAAGCATCATTTGTATTAGCCCATGCTGATGATGCATTACACTCAACTGTAGCATCTTCTGTATCGTTCTCTTCTTGTGTATTATTATTATTACTATTGTTATGATTATTAGACTGTCTCAACAATAAACATTCACGTATTTTCAAACCTTTAGTCTCACAATCACTAACACGATGTAGCCAATGATGACGTTGTTTACGAAATTCCAGCATTTTTTCATAACTGTAGAAGTGATTCAATTCACAGGTTTTTAATAGTGAAGATACATCCGACGATGAATTGTAAGAATAATCATGTTGTTGTTGTTGTTTTTGTTGTTGCCGCTGATGACTTCTTTCTTCCTGTTGACAGTCTTCTTTATCATAATACTGATTCAAGATATTCTTCAACTCAGTGCATAAATTTTCCACATCTTCAAAATATTCCTCAATACGCTTTATTGTAAGACAAGAGAAAGAAGATAATGTGTAAGTATTAAGCATTTTCTCTAAGTGTTCATAGAATGCTCAACTCTGATGAAGATACATAGACACCATTGCTGGTATTTGTGAAAAAGGATTTCAAATAATGTTTACACCAGATTACACAATAAAGCATGAAAGTGAAAACAATATGAGAAGTGAAGAACTCGGCATTCAATTTCTTCAGACTTCATCTATTATTCAGCATAAGGTTAGAAAATTGGTTATGTGTATGCTTCATGGCTGACAGTTTATCTAATACCAGTCAAAATGATAGTCACACTCAGGCACACACACACACGCGCGCTCACACACACACACACAAAATATGATAATTTTAGCGATAGACAACAAAAAGAACACAAAGCAACAAAAAAAAGCGAATAGCAAACAACAAGTGATTAATTAATCTGCATATAAAATGAGGGCAGTATTTCTCTCTTCTAGTCTCATTGTCTTTTTTGGTTAAGTGTATACACACTAAAGCAAAAACAGAATCAACTTATGGTTAGACTAAGCCAATCAAAAGTAAGCGATTTTTCTTAATTATTCAAAAAATACCATTGGATTATTAGTATTATTATTATTATCTATATGGATAATTAGATAATTAGGTGTTATTTTAATTATAAAAGCATGATGCAGCAAAAAATATGACAGATTAGCTATTCACGCCCAAAATATGAAGACACTTAGATGGATGGATAGAAGGATATATGCATTACATACTTGAGTAGACGTAACACAGGAGTCTTTTCGAGTAATATAATACAAGATATTTTGTCGGACCTGATGAAAAATATACAAGTATGATAATGAATAGGGTATTCATGAATTTTAACTTTAAAACTGCATGTTCAATATAATATTTTGTTTAAATCGGAGATTATTTACTTAGAAGTTTTCGAATAGCTTTATTCAAGAAAACTAACTAAAACGCGCAAAACACAACGACTTAGGCTTCTCAGTCTGATATCGGTGAATGACCCCACCACGATACGAATGTGTTGAAATGATATTTAGCAAGTTATTAAATAGCCCCTAATATTTAGTGAATTTATGTCGATCATACAGATCAAAACACTTGAAGTGACAAAATTTACAGTTATCAGACTTTCTGTCTGGTTTTAGCTCATAGCCCCAGGTAATTCAACACTAATATGCATACAGTTTTTACAATGACTTTTCAAAAAGGCTAAAGCATTTATCTTCAGTGTTAACTTTAATAAGTTTGACCGTACGATGATAAGTTGATCATGTAGTATGTAGCGGGACAACCGAACACCTTCCTTCATGAAAGACTGTTACGTGACACTTTTGCCCAGTTAGTCAAAAACTATTCAATGCAGTTTCGTAAAATCTCAGCCCATTATAGATTTGAAACATTGGGATGGAAATATTTTCCGCTAAAGTAATCGATGCATTCTATACTAATGGAAAAAATAATTTATTCTTCCACTACTTAACACCATAATTTCATAATTTTCTTTAGACAAAACTCAACCACCACATTTGTGGGGTTGAAGGTGCTAAGTGCGACTTATTATTAATGCTACTATGATTACTTAAACATTAGTAGAACAGGTGAGCCGAGAACTACACTATGCAAATATAATAAAAAGGTAGGAGGGAAAAAAACTTAAATAGCCTAACTTAAGTACTCGATAGGCATACGTACTAAGTACATTCAAAAAATAATGATGTGGCTCACTCGACTTCCAGTCAGTGAGTCAATAGTCAGAATCCAGCTTCACCTATTCCATCTTGGGTAATTGGTTAGTATAATTAGCCCACGCATAAAATGTGTAGCCTGATAAATGCAATATTTGTTCCGGATAACAGATTTCCAATCAATTAAAACTAACTGATTACCATTTACAGGAGAATCAGTTACCTAGTATAACTTTTGATAAAAGTAAAAAAAGAAGGAGCACTATTACCCTCAAAGTTTCAGATCCTGAATCATACCTTGTAACATACTGATTCACTAAATTTCAGAATCGAAATCATCACGCACCTACAGATGCCAATGCAACACTATTACTATTTATCTCTCGACATCACATCATGCATGGACTGACTGCTCCTGACACTCCTAGGCATTTGAAGGCTGGAAAACAGTGGACAGTATATGGACGCTATTAGAAAGAAATTCACAAGACACCCATATAATTCAAGCTACTATTTTAAGTCACTTCGTTTAGTGACTGCACTGTACACTTGATTGTCAGAATTCGATCAACACTCGAGAATAAACGCCAGCATTTCTTATTGTCTGCAACCAATTTGTGTATAAAGGCGGTTGTTTTGTAATATATCCTTATGAAATACAAATATGTGTGTAAGACCAGAATCACTTGGAGCAAGTAAGTATCTGCAGATATTACAAGCGGACGATAACTCAGATTAATGGAGAATACGCATTAAACTTCTGCTTACTGGATGAGTAGTAAGATTAAATAAAATTAAAACGCTACAAAGTCCTCATCTACGAATGTTTTGGTATTTATCACAACTGTCACCAAAGGTTAGCTTTTGATCCTTTTTACACTGCAACTATTCAAGGCAATTCATCTGAGAGTCCTATTTTTGCCCCACAATAAGTGGTACTACTAGTAATATATAACAGAAAACTTTAATTATATCATGACACATACTTCATAAAAACTCCGAAATATCCGTTTTAAGGGAACCACCGATAAACTGTTACTATACAAAGTCTGGACACTGATTTAATATATCACATTTAACTGTTATTTCATAATAATGTTCATATGAATTTCATTTGTTTTTATATCGGGGTACTTTTATCAATTAGACTCAGAGAAAACTTCCCGAACATGGCGACATCGCAGTAATTGTATTCTACGAAGAATAAACTACCATCAACACATGACCTTATGGAATACTCTGACGGCAAACTTTACTTCACTCTAATTTTTGGATATAAACTTAATTCTCGAAAAATTTGCAACTAATTGAATTCTTTAGCCTAACAAGGGAATTTTGGATGAAATATTCAAACATGGCTTTATTTGAAATCTGTTTGTCGTCTCAGTCACAATGCTACATCATAAGTACAGCTCAGTTTATACGTGGTGATTGATGCAATTATGAAAAAACGGGAAGCCACTGAAAATCGTGATAATTGTAACACATTAAAATTGCACTTCTTCAGACATTTACTACATAAAGTTCCGATGAGATAAAACAACAGATTACGCTGTTAAACTTGTGTACCAAAAGTTTTCCGTGGGTAACTGTATATATGTACTGCTGTAAAAAGTATAATAAATTTCTAGCCTGACGTAAACATTTTAAGTGATTGCAATCATGTATATCACCTCATTAGGGTTACAGAACTATTTAGGATAACATCTTTGTTTTAGAAAGTCTTGTTTTCCGTCATTTATGTCTGATACTGGTAATACATTTGTCAACAAGTGAGCAATATGTGAATAAGTCTCCTCCTCAAAACATGGTTATAGAGTCATAGAAAACACAGACAGAAATTTCTGATCACTACAATATCTTACAAATACGTTTACAAATAAAATGAAAATGAAGTGAATTTACAGCTATCAGTTAAGTAAATAAGCTCTGTCCAGGGCATAAAATAAACATTTCACAAGTGTATGTGAGACCTTTCTAAAAAATAAATGATATATGAAATATGCTTACTATCCTATTGGAAAGCCAGTCTTCAATGTCAAAGCAAAGTTCACCTCCTAAATCAGTTGTCAGATGCTGCTGGTCAATGAAAGGAAGTAGTTCATCAGTTCTGTCAACAAACAATATTGGTATTTTGCAGCTATTTCGTATTGAGCAAATGGTTTTCTCTAAGAACAAATTCTGCATGAAACCTTGAGGTTTGATAACAAAAATTTGATGAAGGTTCCCTGGAAACTTCTCCTAAATATATCAGTTAAGAAAATCCAAATATTTACTAACATTCAGTTTGGTGATAACCGACTTAACAACCGTCCAATTTCCAGTGCGTCTGTCGATTATGACAGTAAACTCTTGAACACAAGTAAGCATACTATTTTTAAAAGATGAATACTTTGAATACAAAACCCACGATGATAATGAAGAAAAGTACTGCATAAGAAGATCATAGGAATCGTCACACAGATTATCCATACCAAGATCTTGAAAAATTATGAGAGAACGAAACTCTTTGTCGTGACCCCCTGAAATAAAACTATGCACTGGATCAAAGTGACCTTACCTGTGAATATTGCGAACTTCTTCAAGAGTACATCCTTCAGATCGTTAGCTGAAATCAGAGGATTTTTAGTGACTGATGTAGAACGATTTTCCGTCATCTTCGTATTTTCTTAAATCATAAGCAGTCTCAAGTCCCACAAGGTAGTTTTTGTAACACTTGTATAACAGCTGAAATTAAAAGTTATGCATGCAGTCAGCCATTTAACAGACTTAAATTTCATCACAAGGGAAACCAATCATCAAAAAAGATGAAGTAAAGCTTGCCTACCCAAGGATGTAGCAACTAATACCATATCTTCACTAGCGCTTACATTCTGAGGCAACAAAATACCAAACGCAGTGATACATCATTAATCAATACTGTATAACTCTGAATAAAAGCCACAACTAGATGTAAGCTACAAAACACTATTGAGCACCTTTTCTATGTGACATGCTGTTGTTCATGCACGATTTTCACTCTCCATTTTTCATTCAGAAGCAATTAATAAGTTAAAAAATTCACTACGGAGTAATGAGTTACCAATAAAATTCATTTTGCCCACAAAAATTTAAGTTTTGCAATACCCCAACAATCATGAAAGTTTCTACAAGCTGGTGAGTTCCAACTGTACTGTGATAATTTAGTTTCATAAATTCAGTTTTAAATATTTAATTCAATCAACAATTAGAGCAGTGAAACTTTCCTCTGGAGACTTAACGAATATAGCTGACTAATGCTTATTCGCGAAAATCACACTGTGTAAGTACTCAGAGGACCAAATAAACGGTATATGCTACCGAATTCAAAGTGGTAGAGAAAGTGAAATTTATTGCCAAATGATAAATGAACAGACTTACAGATAAAACGCGAATTAACTGATCCTTCACACACGTACAACGGTGATGTGACCTCGTATGACAAACACAAGTCATCAATAACTGAGAAATAACGAAAGTCGTGTACATATGTATACGTCGTTCGACGTTCGAAGGTCAGTGCAGTTCTCAGTTTCTTATAATTAGTCACTGATAAGATGCACGATTCAGAGCAGACTAACATAAGCCTGAAGTAAACCTTAAATGCACTGTATCTTCAATATGATAAAGTGGAAAACTGACGAAGCCTCTGAAGAGGAATCGTATCAGATGAGCATTTGGTAGATGGTTCGTTAGGGTGGCTATGATTCATAGTTATCCATAAAAATGGTTACAACATGAGGGTTGCTAGCTACAACTTGTCCACTGAAGAAAAAAGCTTAAATCCGCACAAAAAATAATGGATATTTTGTCATATAAAGAACATATGTATGACTATTTATACCACAAAAAGAGGTTAATACCTCATATCCCACATTGATACTATCCCTCAAGTAACGCTACATATTAAATATGCCTCTACTCCTGACATATAATTCAGATATCACGGACATGAGATAGCTGGCTTTTCGTTGACTGCTTTATTCCTCTCTGTGTATATCTCTCCGGGGTTTCAGTTCTTTTTGGGACACTGTGTCCACTAGTTCGGTTATTGGGTTTCAGCTACGTATCGCCCTATGCAAGAATCTAAACAGCACTGATCGTTCACACTATAGCTGTTTGACAGCCTACCGGTGATGGGATCTCAAAAGTATCCTGGAGTGAAGAAAATAATAATGGAGACCAGGGTTCAAGTAATCATCCAATAAATAAATGCTTAAATAAGTGTCATTCCCTAAAATGTGGTTTAAGAATATACAGGATGCTGATGTTTACTCATGTGTTTATCCCCAGCAACCAAAGAACTTGTTCTGCTGAGGCAAAGTAGAAGGTCAAATCGATCGCTTAAAAAGGCGAGACATCTTATGGGATCAACGTGTGGGGCGACGATTGTGGTTTAGATAGCTAGGTTTCATGTACTAACGACTGGACGTAATACGAGTACATGCCAAATAGCTTGGATGCTTAACCGCGTGTCTTCATCCTCACCAGCCGACTTGAACAGTGAAAGTCGGCTCCCAGCGTTAAGTGGAAAATATTGCACGCTAATAATTTTGATTTCTTTATTTACCCTGAACTGCTGATTTGTTCAGCATTCACGAAACCGACACTCATACTCGTTTATCCTATAGAATGAGGGAAATCCTGCTAGGTATAATAATTGGGTGGTATGCGTCTAATAATGTGCATTCGGGGAAAGTAATAAAGCACAAATAGAACGTTGTAGTGTAGCCTTCGCTTCCATTTGAGAGAAAAAAGGCAACGTTAATAATCACTGAGTCTCCGAAAATCACTTAATTATAAATGTTTAGGGGGCTGTAGGTATCGACGTTCGCGAGTTGTACGGATTATACTAACGCAAGATCTTATACCAACAACTTCTATAGTGCTCGTTCTTCGAGTACCAAATGGTAAAGCAAAAGACCAGATTTTGTCGTCCAAAGTACGTATTATATTTCGGGATAAAATCGCGGGTAGAGGTGAATGCTTAGCTAGCTAGTAATCGTGCACGCACGTGACACGACGGAGCACCAAATGGCGGGGATGCTTGACCGTAAGCCTTCAGCTAAACAAGTCGACTTAAACAGTGATGGTCAGCATCCAATGTTGAGTGATGATTGCTGTGGTTAATAATTTTGGGCAATTATTTACCGCTACAGCTCACTCCCCCCCCTAGTGGGTTTGTGAGGACCCTAAGACATGACCAGCCGGAAGTAAAAAAATCTCGATGGTTCCCTGATGGGTGAAAAAATCTTCCGAGCGGCTTGATGGAGAGCCTGCTGGTCTGTCTGCCTATGCTAATAGGGTGTCTGTACATAGCTTCCTCGGTATTGTTCGTTGGATCCCGTGCTTCGTTTGTTTCCTGTCCAGTGCCCGTTGCACCTGGAAAAGAAAACAAGAATGCTAAGAACCTTGTCAAGAAAAATGTACCAAATAAGCGTGTTTTTTTTACCAAAATAAATATGACATGCATCTACTATACAGTAAAATAATGTAAAGTTCAAAATATCGGGAAAGAAATATACATCTAATTTAATTTTATGTACGGTTATAGGAAAAATATCATTTACTTGTGTTTAATGATGCAACATAAAAAAAATTGATGTGTCGCTCAGTTATGTAAAATAGGTGTGAAGGTATTCTGGGAATCTAACGTGACGTCTAGAACGCGTTTTCTTAGAGTGATCGACCGAAGTTTCGGTGGCTTTCGCCGTGCTAGGAAGTTCTTCGAAGACTACAGGATATTCTATTACTTGTGGATTATTAGGTACGCTCAGCTCTAGGCTAATGGGATTACCTTCCAAGTAAGCCGGTTTGAGACGGTCGATACTGACGGTGTCTTCGTGGCCTTTCTTGTCTAAGACGAAGAATTTATCCATACTTTAATGACCTTATATGGTCCGTCATACGGGGGTTCTAGAGGACGACGTACCGAGTCGCGACGAACAAATACGTGTGAAGAAGTTTTTAAACAAGGGTGAACGAAGACATCAATGGACTGTGGTCGGAGGGGAGCAGGTCTAACTGAACGCATTGCGTTTGTAAGCCTACTGACGTATGAGGTGTGATCTACCGCTGGTGGGAAGCTTGAGGGGGAAACAAACTCACCTGGCAGTCGTAGTGTCGTGCCATATACTAGCTCAGAGGTAGTACAACCAGCATCGGTTTTCAAAGCGTTTCGTATCCCTAGGAGAACTAACGGGAGGGATTCAGTCCAATGGGTGTTATTTGCAGCTGATAAACCAGCTTTCAACTGTCTGTGTAGACGTTCTACCATACCATTAGCTTTTGGGTGGTAGGCTGTTGTTCGAAAACGCATGCAACCAAGGATTTTAGTCAAAGCGAAGAATAAACCGCTTTCGAATTGCCGCCCACGAACAGTTGTTATGGAAGATGGGCATCCAAAGTTTGCGATCCATCTCTCTACAAAGACGCGTGCGACAGTTTCAGCAGATATATCTTTGAGGGGTACTGCTTCAGGCCATCGTGGGAAGCGATCGATGCAGGTTAACATATAGGTGTATCCATGAGATTCTGGAAGGGGGCCAACTAAATCTATATGGACGTGTTCGAAACGGGCATCGGGGATAAGAAAAGTGCCAAGGGGGCTTTTAGTGTGTCTTATTACCTTGCACTTTTGGCAAGCTAAGCACGTCTGTGCCCATTCCCTTACTTCTTTGTTAATACCAGGCCAACAAAACCGACTAGTTACGAGCTTGACAGTAGTTCGAATACCTGGATGGGATAAGCCATGCAACGTATTGAAGACGTTACGGTGATAACTTTTAGGCACGATGGGGCGAGGAGTACTAGTGGAAATGTCACACAGAATAGTATCCTTTCCTATACCTAAGGGTTTCTTGGCTAATTGTAGAGTTGTTTTCGACAACTCACGCTGAAGCTCAATATCTTCTTTTTGAAGAAGAGCCAGTTTTACAAGGTCTGTGCCGTCGATTTGGGTGAAAGAATAAATACGTGACAAGGCATCTGCCACAGTGTTGTTCACTCCGGAAACATGGCGAATATCTGATGAAAACTGTGAAACGTAATCTAGTTGTCGCGATTCCCTGGGTGAATACTTATCTGAAGTTGAGTTCAGAGAGTACGTCAGAGGTTTGTGGTCAGTGAAAATGGTGAATTCACGACCCTCAACTGAATGTCGAAAATGACGTATAGCACAGTACATAGCTAGAAGTTCTCTTCCGAATGTGCTGTACTTCGTTTCAGCTACTTGAAGGCGCCTCGAGAAAAAGGCGAGTGGTTGCCACTCGTTGTTAACTAGTTGTTGCAGAACTGCGCCGATTGCAGTGTCTGATGCATCAACCGAGATACTCAACGGTGCCGTCGGATCCTGATACATAAGAAGTGTGGCATCCGCAATAGCTTTCTTTACCTGAGTAAAAGCATGTCGAGCAGACGTGTCGAGTTCGATAGCCTTGTTGTTCCCTCGAAGGAGATCGGTTAATGGCTGAATTAGAGAAGCACAATTAGGAATAAAACGTCGGTAATAACTTACCAAGCCGTTAAAAGTGCGAAGGCATTTCACTGTCTTTGGCTCCGGAAAGTTCAGTATCGCTTCGACTTTAGTAGCCAGTGGGCGTATGCCCTGACAGTCAATAGTGTGACCCAGAAAATCGAGTGAGTCAACGCCTATCTGACACTTCTGTATATTGATGGTAACACCATGTTGGCGTAACATTTCAAATGCCGAGTCCAAGTGTCTAAGGTGAGTTTCCTTATCTGGACTGGCAATGAGGCAGTCGTCTAAGTATGCGTATACAAAGTCGAGACCGCGAAATACTTCGTTGATGAAGCGTTGGAATGTTTGGGCCGCATTCCGGAGGCCGAACGGCATACGTAGAAATTCGAAAAGTCCGAAAGGCGTGATGATAGCCGTTTTCGGAATATCTTCCGTTGCCATCGGGATTTGGTTATATGCTTTAACCAAGTCGATTTTGGAGAATATAGATGCTCCAGATAACGTTGCCGTCAAGTCGTGTATGTGAGGCAAAGGGTAGCAATCAGGGGTTGTTTTGGCGTTCACTCGCCGGTAATCACCAGTGGGTCGCCAATCGTTACTATCCTTTTTCGGTACCATATGCAATGGGGATGCCTATGAACTATTCGATGGCCTAATGATGCCAAGGGTGAGCATATGATCGAATTCGTTTCTGGCAATTCTCAGTCTGTCAGGGGCCAGTCGTCATGCTTTAGATGTCACGGGCTGTCCTGAGGTTATGATGTGGTGCATAACATTGCTGGTTATGCACGGGAGATCGTTAGATGGGCAATTCAGTTCCAGATATTTGTCAACAATCGGTTGAAAAGTTGGATCGAGGATTGCTTTCATCTTAACGATTGACAAACTGGGGCCTACGTAAGTTATACCTTTGATAGACAAACTAGTAGTGTTGTCAATTAATCGTTTACGGCGGACGTCTACGAGCAAATCATGATGATTAAGTAGGTCCGTGCCAATGATGGGCATTGTGACGTCAGCGATTAGGAAAATCCACTGAATAGGTTTGCGTAAACCTACGTTCAGATAGACGTATTTCCGACCATAGGTTGCAATCGGTTTTCCATTTGCAGCCTGTAGGTTGAAGTTCGGATCCTTCTGTCGATCTGCTGCTGTAGCAGGAAGGACGCTGACTTCGGCGCCTGTGTCAACTAGATATCTAGTCTGGCTCATTACATCAAGGATGTAAAGTAAGCGGCTAGTGCCACCGGCGACGGTTGCCGCTAACGCGTGCCGGCGGGATAGTTTCCCACACACTTGGAGGCTTTGCGGAAATCACAAGGTTTTCGACAACATTTCGCTTCCTTGCCATAGGTGTTGTGATACCAACACCAGTCAGGATTTTTGAGAGAGCGTGTGTTGGACTTAGATCGTCCACGTGCACTTTGCCGTTGAGGGGATTT